AATTATCTTGGGTGATGGGCGCCCGGCGGCGTATTTTTTTCGTTATTCGCTTTACTTTTCTCCCTTTGTTTTTGCTTTTTCTATTTGTTTTAAGGAACTCACGACGTTAAGCATACAAGATATTATCGTATGAAAAGCGATGGATTAACCGGTAAAGGCTATGAATGGATATGCATAGGGACAAGGTTATTTCAAGGAAGGGGGTGAGAGGAGAGACGCGGGAAGAGGTGGCAAGGATGTCCGCTTTCTGGTGTTTTCTGAATATTGGGGGAGTTGATGTTTGAGGACTCTGGGGAATGGAACAGAACAGCGGGAGGTGAGATGAGGTTTCGATAAACAAACGACAAACAAACACACACCACCGATGTATTTTATTATGAAACAGACAGGGGCTTCCTACAGGTATATAAATACCAGCGACTGGGGAGAAAAGAATAATGTCAGTTTTCACGACCTTGCGTGACTCTCTTTTGTTGGTAGTGCTCTTGCCTCGGGGTCTCTGCTCAAAAACTAAATTCATACCCTTGAACTGTGAGGGAAGTCCTGAAGCATTCACGTAGAGAATCATTCTTTGACCTCGTAGAAAGAATAACAAATTCATGTTTGCTTGATCTATTTTGTAGTTTTCTAGCCTTCGGACCATGAGACCAGAATAACTAACAAGCTCTATCACAGCTATAATAGTGCTAGAGATGACTAAAAATCCTAAAAACCAATGACATCACAGGTATCACTGGGATGTTGTCCGAAGTCTTTGCGAAGCCTCCTGGAATTAAGTATTAGAGCAAAAAAAAAACGTCGTCCGAGATTGCCAATCTCTTTTACGAGACGCTGTTCTCTCAACCAAAGTTTTGCTGAATAGGGAAACCTGAACCTGACGCGGCTGTGGGCGTGGTTTTGGTACGAGCGCTCGGTGAGTGAGTCAGCGGATGGCGAAGCCAGCATGTCGATTCAGAATGAGCCATGGATTGGCTCATCTCGGCGGTGAAGGCGCACCGCAAATGGCTAGGTCCGTGCAGTCAAATCTTACTGGAGATCCAGCATCTACAAGGGCGTCTATTATTGCTTGAATTATCAAGCCGAAATGAAAACCAGTTTATGTGACGGGCTTGTCGGGCCCATCCATGTGGGAGCTCTAGGGTAGGGCACTGGAATGTAACCCATGGCGCTTCTATCGATACCGATATACTTGCATCGTGATTGGTAAGATGTGGCCAGAGGTAGCTATTGAGTCATTGACACGGGATGCTACAGCGGCTCGGTAAGCAGAGGCCAAACTCGTTGTTAAGAATGACTCCTCAAAGATTCAGCCGCATGGCGCAGGTTAATGTAAGGCTGTCTTCCATGTTGGTCTTGGCTCTCGGTTTGGGGCATCAACAGCTAAAACACGGCGCCGCGGGGCGCAGTGACAGGGATCGGCCCCCACTACCACTACCCTCTGAGGCCGATTCCAAGTGCTGAAGAATGTGCCCCTCCATCATCGAAACGATCTGGAACTGGCCCCCCATCGGTCGGTCCCCCAAAATTCTAATCTGCTGCACCTTATTTATCAGCCTGCCTCCCCGACACCTGGAGCTCTGCCCACCTCCGACTCCTCCCTCATCCTCTCAAAACGTACATATTCAGTAAATTACCTCCTATCGATTACGGAGAAGCCATCTGTCCATCGCAGCTTCGATTTTTGTACAGCTCAGCCGGGGAATCTCTGCCGATCTAGAGCTAGATCTCGCTCCCATCTGTTACACATATTTGCCATCAATCCCATTATTTTCTGTTGCCCCGACTTGCCAGCCACCTCTCGACACCGATCCGAACCCATAGATAATCGCCGCATTGTCTGTCATGGAAGCTTCCGCGGCAGGGGGACCCGGTGGTGCACCCTCAGCTCCATCGTCTGGAGCCCAGCGTGGCCCGAAGAACCAACGGGGACGAGGGAAAGGACGAGGAGGGAACCGCGGCCGAGGCGGAAACCAGAGAGGCGGAAACACCAGCGGCCAGAACGATGCTGATTCCCGGAAGAATCTGTCAAACCCCGCCGCCCAGGACCTCGCGGCTGCCGTCGACAAGGCCCGTATCAGCGCCGGAAAGCCTCCAGTCGACGAGGAGAATGCAGACGACGATGCTGAGGTCTGCTTCATTTGCGCCAATCCCGTTTCTCACCACTCGATTGCACCCTGCAACCATACCACATGCCACATCTGCGGTCTGCGGATGAGAGCATTGTACAAGGACAAGAACTGTGCTCATTGTCGTGTATGTCTTCTGCTCCCTCTGTCGACCCAACTGGCGGGCTTCTCGAGCCGAAACAAGCCAACTGATTGAAGCTCCTGCTAACATTCCGAGATTCTAGACATCCGCTCCCTACGTCATCTTCGCCCCCAATGCTGATAAGCGCTTCGAAGACTTCACCAATGCGGACATCACGACGACGGACGACAATATCGGCATCAAATATGCCAACGAAGATATCGTGGGCGACACCGTCCTCCTCCTCCGCTACAACTGCCCAGACGCCGACTGCGATTTCGCCGGACTGGGATGGCCCGACCTGCACCGCCATGTCAAGTCGGCGCACAAAAAGCGCATGTGTGATCTGTGCACTCGTAACAAGAGGGTCTTCACGCATGAGCACGAATTGTTCGCCGACAAGGAGCTGGAGAAGCACATGCGATACGGAGATGACAAGCCGGGAGCCGCAGACCAGACGGGATTCAAGGGACACCCGCTGTGTGGGTTCTGCGGCGAGAGATTTTACGACGACGATAAGCTGTATGAGCATTGCCGCAACAAGCACGAGCGGTGCTTCATCTGCGATCGGAGGGACTCCCGGAAGCCTCATTATTACCGGGACTATAACGCCTTGGAGGAACATTTCAAGAAGGATCACTACTTGTGCAATGATCGCGAGTGCTTGGAGAAGAAGTTCGTCGTCTTCGACACCGACATGGACCTGCAGGCACACCAGCTCAGTGAACATGGTGGTAAGACCACTGGCAGAGATGCGAGACTTGTGGACATCTCCGGCTTCGATATCAGAACGCCTTACCAGGACGATAGGAGAGAAGGTGGGCGCAGAGATCGAAGGCGGGAGGGACGTGGCGGTGGTGGTGGTGGTGGCGGTGGAAGGGGAGGCCGTTGGACTAATGAGAATGCCGAACCTGTACCAGTATCGTCTGCACAACCACTGCGCCGAGATGAGATTGCTTTCCAACGTCAAATGGCCATCCACTCAGCCCAGTCCGTGTCAAACCGCACCTTTGGAGGACAGTTGAGTGCCCCCGCCGCAGCGAATACGCCGCCTTCTGGATCCAGAAATAACAGCTCCCCATCAACCCCTCACCCAGCACAGAACCGCAACGCCAATAACGCCGAAGTTAGAGACATTCCGCAATTGGACGCTCTCACAGTCGATCCCGCAAATATGACTCCTGAAGAGCGTGCACGAGCTGTTCGTCATAGTTCCGTAGTTGAGCGAGCCTCGAATTTACTTCACAACGATGCTCGGAAGCTGGCAACTTTCCGAGAACACATCTCAACATACCGACAGGGCAAGTTTACTGCGCCAGAACTGGTAGACGCCTTCTTCACTCTTTTCGGCGATACTTCGTCAAATGCTCTCGGCACACTACTTAGGGAGGTTGCCGACTTATTCGACGACAAAGTCAAGTCTGACGCACTTCGCAAGGCCTGGCAGGATTGGCGGGCGATCAATGAGGATTACCCTAGTTTACCTGGGCTGAGCGGCATGCACGGAGCCACCTCGAGTTCGAGTGGATGGGCGACCGCGGGAGCTGCCAGCCCAGCTCTGCCAACAGGCGCACCAGCGCAGAAACACTCGAACAGAGTGCTCAAGTTGAAGAACAGCACCAGGCTCGGCCCCGCCCCTGTTTCCAGATCACAACCGACATGGGTTGCGTCCGCTTCAACGTCTATCCGACCTCCTGCTTCAGCCGGTTTCCCCTCGCTCCCCCCGTCTTCAAAGAAGGGTACTGCCTCCTCCTCCTCATCAACACCATCGTGGAACACCGGCTCGGCTGCTCAAACTTCACAATCAAGCGCCAGCTCATCGTCGGCACCGCTGAACAACCGTCCACGCCCCAAGGCCAACGACAAGGACGCCTTCCCGGCCTTGCCGTCGGCCCCTAAGCCGCAGACTACAATCTTCGGCTACGGGAGCGGCCGCGGCGTGAGGCGGGACCTGCCCGGTCTAGGTGGCCGGGGAGAGACCGGCTTCTCATGGGGTGGCGAGAGCGGGCAGTCGTCAGATGCAGCCGCTGCAGACGAGAATGCAGACAAACCTGCAGAAGGGCAGGGCAAGAAGGGCGGGAAGAAGGGGAAGAAGCAGGTCCTGGTCCAGTGGGGATAAACCCACTGCTTACCGTACCCCCTTTTCCAGAATACTGTCCCTTTGTTGATGTGTGAGAAGACGATTATCTGAGCTTGGCGTTTGTAGCGGGTTTGGGTAGGGATGACCAAGTATGTGTGTGGACTTGTTCCTGGGCGTGTGAGCGAGATTTGACTTTACGACATGTGATGTGGACAGCGATGAAAAGTTTGGGTTTGGATGCTGGCTTATGAACCGTACCCCCTTTACGTGTTTCTTTCTAGGTTGCTTACATGCCTCATGTTGGGAAAGGCAAGGGGCGTTCCATAACCTGAACAGTGATATGTATATCATCTTGCATCATAATTTGTCGAGCATAGATAGATGAAGGAAACTACTGTTCAAGTTGTCAAGATGTCATCATCCCAAAACGTCCGAGTAGTAGTAAGAGAAGATTGGATCATAGTTGACGATTTACTTGGTAATGAAGGCCGGCTGGAAATGGGGGATAAATCGAGAAATATGTAAATTGCGATGAGATGTATATAAACAGATATTCAAAAACATAATGTTTCTACCATATCAGATCTAATGACACTCATTCGACTTACCTTGTTAGACCGCCGAGATAGTTTCATCAGCTCAAAGTACCCGGAATTCCAAGCGCAGGAAATTGTTACAGCCCGGCAGGTTCATAATACTCCCTGAACCGGTCCGTCTCCTCCCACCTCACGTTGTAGACAACGTTCCAGCAATCCAGGAGCAGCATGGGGAATTTAGTTGTCCAAAAGCTGAGATAGCCATCGGGCAGAGGGCCGACGGTTCGCTTGAGCGAGTCCGGCATGTCCTCGTAGTGGTTTCTCTTATTACGGAGGGCACGGAGGAGATCGAGGAGTCTGGTACCCGTGTATTTGCGCTGCTTCCCGAGGGAATCCACAAACTCACGAGGGAGTTGGCGGAGGAAATCGCCCCTGGTAACTTGCGATGCGTGCCTCTCCAGTTCCTGGAGCGCCTCGGATGGCGGGTCTCGACATTCCTTTTCAAAGTGGTCCGAAACATCACAGAGGAAAGCGAGCCGTTTCTTAGCCGACCAAAAGAAGGGATGTGCCATGACTTCTCTCGCGGGAGGTCGCTGCTTGGGATCGGCCGCCAACATCGACCCAATCAGGTCTTTGGCCTCGTACGCAAAGTCTCCAAGTGAGTCGAGGAGGTGAAGGTTGAAGTTGCCTTTGCGAATGTTGACCTCGCGCATATATCTGTCTCCACAGTCGAATGGATGGGATCCATTTGTGAGGACGTAATAGAACACAAGGCCGAGCGAGAAGATGTCGATAGCACGTGTCGCACGGCGGCTAGTTTGGTTCATGCCATCCATCACAAGTACAGAGCCGGAACCAACGCTATGAGAACTCAGATCAACGAGACCAGCATCACGAGCGTCATCGTCTAGAAGGAGCTCGGGTGCGCGCCAGCCTGAGGTGCCCGCGGCCCTTCCAGTAGTAGCACCGAACGATGACTGTCCGCCTTCCAGCTTCTTGCAAAGACCAAAGTCGGAAACCAACATACGCGGTCTTCCATCTTTGCCCATGTTGACAAGAATATTTTGAGGCTTGAGGTCTCTGTGGACGATACGAAGAGAGTGCAGGTGGTTGATACCATTCGTTATTTGGTATAGGATGGCTGGGAGGTCTTGACGGCCGGCATTGGCAAGATCACGGAAGATATGCGGCTTCTCAACAACCTCAGCCAGGGAGGCTGCACACTTTTCGAGGGCAATGTACAGAAAACCATCTTGCACCTGCTGAGAATAATATCGGATAACTGAGAATCGTTGTTAGTGGTGTAAAGTTTGCATCCGCCAAGGTTGGTGGCCTACCATTTGGATGATCGTCACTCTCTCTGAGGAGCTTGGTCTCTTGGACCGCAATATCGTAGAAGTGAATCAACATGCGCTTGACAGCGACATCACGCCCATCGAATTTACCAGCAAAGACGAGTGTTCCGTTGCTGCCAGTTCCAAGTTGGTCCTCTGTGTTGACTTCAATATTCCCCATCCGAATGACGGGATTACCGATACCTTGCATATCGCTTGGCGCAACAGTCATGACATCAGGCTCCAGTTTCTGGCGCTCCTCCCCAAGTTTCTTTGCGGAGGTGACGGCATCATCGACTGTCTTTGGACCAGGTTCATCGTCTCGCGACTGTGACCCTTCTCGCTGTGGTTTCTTGCGATGCTTCACACCTCCTCGGCGACCACGATGAGCCTTCTTCTTCTTCCCACCAGGCGAGGCGGCCTCACCGTCTGCATTCGGAACCTCCAGTCCCTGGTCTGCTGCATTATCGCGCAATCTGGCCTGCTCCGGGGTTGTCCGGTCGCTGTCATTGCTGCTTTGGTCTGCGATTGGCTCTCTGATCTTGGGAATGGCTTCAGGTGTGGTGGTTTGATTCTCTGCTCCAATAATCTGGGGCTCATCGCAGGCTATGTTCGCATTTGACAAGAGGTCCGATTCCCCATACTTATCCGGGCTTAGACTTTGGTCTGTTTCCTTGCCAAACCAATCAAAGGGTACGGAGAAGCCATTCTCCTTCATCTGGTGGTAGGAACGTCTGATTTTGTTCTCATTGTATATGAGCAAGGCGATGAAAATGATGATGAGCGTCGGGTTTTTAACAAAATCGATCAGGCTTGTCGCGGCATGCTGCGGGAGGGACTTCACCTTGTTGAGAAGGCTGGCATCATCGCTATCCGAAACCTCGATCTGGTAAGGGGATTCGTTTTCAGACTCGTTGTGTTCGCCATCAAGATATTCATGTCCGCTCTCACCAGAAGGCAATGACGGCCGTCGCCAGCTGCCTTTCTGGGAAGCTTCAAGAACATGAGTGCCAACCAGAGCCTTGGAAACGCTCTTATGGTCGAGAGTATCCAAGGGAGGGTAATTGTCAAGCCAGTCAGGGTTGCTGACGGGAGCCATCGGGGCGTCAATGATTAGTGGATAGGATCGGCCTGACATGGCATACCAGCTGCCCGTAGATGTACGGTTGAGAAAGATACTCTGGCTCCTAATCCGAGCAATATCCTCATCTCGGGATGGCATTGGGGGCTGGGGGAGAACGACCAATTCAGGGTTGCTGTCGGTCGGAGCATCCCAAGGGCGGCAGACGTCAAAGACTCGGGCGACGGGTGTTGCGAACTTTTCGTTTATGGAAGGAAGCTCGTTTCGAGTTGGATCAAAGGCATAGACCTTGCCGTCGTGTCTACTGGTAAAGTATCGGCTGTCTAGTGATGAGTGGTACTGGGTCAAGAGGTCATGGTCAAAATTGTTTGGCCCCCATTCCGAATATTTGATCGTGGCAAGGGCCTTGCCATCTCGGCGCTGGATGCCAACAGTGTACTCTGTACGTCCAAGAGTGATTGTGCCTGTGGAACTACACTCATCCATGTCCATGTTGTAGAGAGTGTTGGGGCGTAAGCAGCTCTCCGCCTCGTTGACGTGAGACCCGCCAGAGCCAAACCACTTGAGAACCTTGCCGGTGGCGGCGTCGAGAGTAATGAGTGTCGTCTTTTTGTCCCCAGTGTACACGACGGATGTTCTATCATCGGCGAAGGGAGCTAGCTCTTCGACGAGGCGTTTCATGGTGAAGCCGGTGCGGATGAGGCCGGCGTCGGAGTCGGGAACCCAGACAAAGAGGCCGCCATCTCGTGTAGGCTCGACAGCCCAGATGTAATGGTCGATGGCGCTAAAGTCTTCGTCGAGGATGGAGCTGTTGGATCTGTGATGCTTTGTTTCGACCATGGGTTGGTCCACCTCAAGATGCCAGCGCTCTTTCAACGTCTTTCGATCGCTGGCATAGAGGTCTCCATCGACGGTCGCCAGAAGAACAAAGTCTTCCACTTCCCAATCCTCCAGACTCCGCGCAACATGCGGCGATACCAGCCCAGAGGCAGCAGCGCTGCTGGGCTTTTGATGTCGTGAGGGATGTGGTGCTCGTACGGACTGATCCGGAGCTAAAGTTGCGAGGGCGCTCGCATCGCTAGGAATATGAATATTTGGTTGTTGTTTGCTATTTCGGTCGCTGTGGGCGGAGTGTTGACGTGATTTGTCAAGTCGCTTGCTTCGAGTGTCACGGCGGTGAAGGTGTGCAGCGTGCAGCTGGTCGACCTTGTCGAAGGATGGGCGCTCGCTACCGAGGGCTGCTGTCTTGAGAGCTGGATCGACGTCGCTTAGCTTGGTGACAGCTAGGGCTTGGATGGCGGAATCATCGTGGAGTGAGCGACGGCTTCCGGAGACATCGTCATGGTGTGGGCGGATTGCTGCTCGGGGCTGTTCACGGGCTTGGGCATCGGCGAGCTGAAGCCATGGAACTAGAAGAAAGGCTACGGCGAGCAGGAGCTTCTGCGGAGGGCTCCCCTGTCCTCGAGGTCGTCGTCGTCGAATCATCTCTCCGAGTCGTTGATGGAGTCGTCGTACGATGAATTACATTGGCATTGGTGGGACACAGCCTAGGACGAGGTAGGCTCCTGGAGATGGGCAATGGCCATGCCAAATACCGTGGCAATGTAGATAAAGCGCGATGCAGATGGCGCAGAAGAGGGGGCTATGGCCCGCGCGTGTTGGCCGGTGGGAGCTTTAGGGATGAGGAATAATGAGTAGCACTATCAATTAGTAGCTTCGGTAGTTCGGCGTGGCGTGCTCGGATTGACTTTGTAGCGGTGGAAAACAAACGGCGCTCTTCCGGGGGACCAGCCGAGAGCGAAACAAGATGGAACTCGAAAGGATGGAAAGAAAAATGAAGATGGGGAAGAGGTGATTGATGATGGAATGTGGAGGGTCCAAGCGAAGGAGGAATAAGCTGAGGGGGAGCCAACTTTTAGGACGGGAGAGGATGGGCGGAAGGATGGGGGCGGGTTCAGCCTCTCCTCAAGAATCGACGTGCCTGGTAGGAGGTACTGTACGCTTGGAAACGGTACCTCTCTGGATCAGGCCTGCAAATACGTACTGTCTACAACCCAGATGGCTAAATTCACTGGCAACACCACGAGAGACAGCCATGCTGACAAAGTACCTCCTAATAAACCTGCTCGCGCAATCTAGCCGCAACTGCCTCCCCTCCCCGTACCGTTTTGTCCACAGTACACACGGCACATGGTACGACGAGGGGCATCGCAGCACTGCCATCGCGATTCCCAGCATGACATGATCGGCAAGCTCCCTCTTTTGCATGGGAAAAACTCTTCACTAGAAGTGTTTCAGTTCACCCTGATCAAGAGGGGACCTGAGGTGGTCTACACCGCAGCGGTCGATGATTTGGTGACACTACCTGTTATTCTTGTGGGAGCCTGGAACACAACCGCGCGGCCATGGAACACCCCGGTCAGACTCGTAGGTTCCTTCAGGTTCTTGCCCTGCACCACCACCACCACCACCACTACCAACCACCACAGTACGCCGACATTAATTAATAACTTTTCTTTAATTTAGCCAACACGAACCACATGGCAGGTAAAGTATATTGCACGAAATTAAATGCGACGCGTACGCGGGAGCCGCGGATGTAAACAAAACATCAAGGGCCCAACAAATTACACGCACAACAAACGCAATAATGACATGTCTCATCAGAAAAGGCGACACGTTGAGGGAGTTAAAAACAAGACATGTGCATTTTGGCAAATAGTGTGTACTGTGACCCTCCCGGCGCCTGAAGTGGCTGCAGAAATGCACAGTGCGTTATGTAGCGTCGCAAATGGGATCGCTGACTCCAAGTGCTGCAACGCTACATCCTTCCCACCCGACTTTGTGCCAGCGGGCGGCATGGTGAGCACTGCCCAAAAAAACACACAAGCACGGGGGTAGGGTAAATCAATATTCCAGCCGGTGAGAGGATGTGGTAGTCTGTTCACCCACACGATCTAACACTCTGGTCGAGATGACCTCGGCTCGGCTGCGGCGGTGCTGTACCACTATGGATGGATGGATGTAAGACGCCTTCCGAAGTCCTGATTTTGGTTGGCAACATTCACACCCGAATGTTCCATATCGACGACAGTGGGGACTGAAGCAATTTGTTTGAATCATGTCGTTTCATTACCAAACCCTATATGCCCCTTGCGAAACTTCGTGAGCAATACAAGCAGCAAGTCCCTGCAGATGCACGTAAATGTGAGTCTAAACCACCTTTTCAATCTGATCTCCAACCACCCAAGTCTCGTCTCTATGTAGTGATGATTTCTTCCGATTCCTCCAACACTTCCTCCACAATCTCCTCAATTACCGTCTCCTTGTCATATCCTTCTATTGACTTGGTCTTGGCCTCCAGGAGAGCGGCATGAGGATCATCCGGCAGGCCGAGGATAGCACGCTCCTCGGCCAGCTCGGCCTCCATATCCTCGCGCCATGAGTACCACTCATTGAGCATGTTGCGACGGGCCTCGACCACTGCCAAATCGGCAGAGGCGCCACGGTCGGCATCTTCCTGCTCGAACACGCGGCTGTATTCACGCAGGTTCTTGCGGATAGCCTTCTGCTCCTCCTTGGTCAGCAGAGTAGGAGGTCGCGGGCGCCAGGCGAACTGCTTGAACTTGTCCACGGGCTCTTCCCTCAGAGCCTCGCCCTTGAAATCGTAGATGTGATAGCCGTTTTCCATCTATGCGTCAAATTAATATTGCGTCTCGGAGGGTAAATTAGGTTAGAGTGTTGGGATCATCAAAAACTTACCGAATGTTTCCACACTGATGCCCAGGTAGCGACAAATCTGCCTGAAGGGTCCCATTCAACATCCGTTACTCCGTAGTGATCAGCGGTGTTCATGAGTTGCAGATTCGCCGTCATGTCCTTCTCGGCCTCTGGCTTCTCACCCTCGAAGTCGAGGTCAAAGAAGTCGAGGTCCGAGCTCTGCTGGTTGTGGACGGTGGCAATGACCACAAACCGGCCCCTGGGAGACCAGTAGATGGCATTGCTGTTCTTCTTGTCAAGCGTGCGGAGGTGCTTGAAGTTGCCGGCATGAGGGCCCTTGGCCTTCTCAGGGCAGAAGAACGCAACCGCCGTCTTGGGGGCAACGGCGGTTGGGCCAGCAGGCTCCGTCGTAGTGATGATGGCAAATCGATCGCCCTTGGGTTCCCACGCAAAGTTGATGACAGTATCCTTGATCGTGTCAACCACCTCGACGGGGACGCCCTTCTCCTTGATTCGGAAAATTTCCAGGGTGGTAGCCTGAGACTTCTTGGACTTGGAGTGACGATCAACCTTGACGCAAAGGTAGGCTGACTCTGATTGCCAGTGGAGCTTGGCATCGCTGACACTGAAAAGGTTGAGGGTTCGCACAATCTGCTTGGAGGGAACGCTCATCAGACCAACCTTGGCAGGGTTGCTGCCAATTTCGGGAGTCCAGTAGCAGAACAGCTGTTCGTAGGTTTTGACACCCTCTCGGTGAGGGCTTGAAGGAGCCCAGTCGAAGTCAACAACTCCCTCGATCTTAATGCTAGTCTTGTCGAGAAGGTTCATGCGGGGGAGCTCATAGACGGAGATGGACTGTCCTGGGTTCAAGCGAGCGACGTACTTGTCATCCGCAGACCACTTAAACGCAGGCCACTGCATCTTTGGGGGAGGGCGACCGTCCTCAACTTTGGGGGCATCGAGGTTGGCAAAGGACCGGAGAGGCGAACCGGTGGCAATGTCCCAAATGACATAGTTCTTTCCGTCATCGTCGATAGAGAGAGCAGGGTGGCCTTCATCGGGGATGGAGATGGGTCGGTTTGACCAAGTCACCATGTACTTCTCAGTTGGGGAGAAAGCAACCAGGTTGACATAAGGGTGTGCGAACCTGGCCTGGCGAGACCAGGAGGGGCCACCCCAGAGCTGAACACCCTGGGCATGGATGGAGGTCAAGTAGGTGCCGAGAGGGGACCACTGCACAAAGGTTTCGGTCCAGTGGAGACGATCGACGATATTCTCGGGCTGGTCCTTCTCGTTGTTCCAGTACACGCCCACGGACTCGTTGTTGTACATTACGAACTGATCTCGACCGCGACCGGAGGGGTCCTTGAGGAACCATCGGAGATGCTCCTTCTCTGTGAACTCGTCGATGTGGGGGGGTTGGTACTTCTCGTCCACGCGTCCTTCTCGGCCGTATCGCTCGATGTCGGTCATTTTGTTCACGCGCAGAGTGTGCTTCTTGTCGAGGGGAACCATATCCAACTGTCTTGTCGCTGCGGCCGCCTCAGCGGGGGAGGAGTACTCGACGAATGCGAATCTAATACCCTGGTCAGTCAACATGATTCGACTCCTCTAGAAGGGGAACTATTTGCATGCCTTAAGGAGTCTCCATCATCGCCCATGGGCATGTAGACAGAATCTTCCCTGACCTTCCCGACGGTGTTGAGCTTCTTCAGCAAGAACTTGACCAGCTTGGGCTTCTGGCCCTCGTTAACCTTGGGAAGGCCGTCGATGACAACGAAAGTGTCGTATCCTTGCTCGAGTTGAACCTCAAATCTCTCTCGCAGATCGGAGGTATCAATCTCATCCTCGTTGAACTCGTCATCGTCAAGGTCCGCCTCGCGGAGGTGCTCGAACGTGGGCGCCATGATTGCGGGAATGTGGTGAGGCCAAGGAGGGGTGCAAAAACTGTTGCCCCGCCCTACACTGGCACTTGAAGCTGTCGGATCGTATACGGTGCCTGGGCGCTGTGTCCGACTTCGAGTATAGGCTTGAAATACAGAAGGGTAGAGATTACCACTGGGATCTGCTTTCAAGTCGAGTGTCCAGACAGGTCGACGCGGAAATCGTGCAGGGCTACCAGCGTGGGGTGGGAAAAAAATAGCCACTCAATAAAACCACGGCCACTCGCGAATTTGCGTATTCTCCTAGTATTCGCTGAAGTGTGCGACGGAAAAGTAATATTCCAGAGCCGTCGGCTTCTGATACCGCGGGGCAAGTCACGTGCAGCTCTATCTTGGTGGGGTTGATTGCAGGTCCCTGTCTCAACTCCTGATTTCAGCGGGTCGGCGGTGGTGACAGAGCTTCAAGGCCGCGGGGGTTTGAAAAAAAGTGACTGCCTGCTTCATCTGAGCCGAACAGTCCACCATATTCACAGATATAATACTCCTTGACCTTGAAAAGGATAGGTGAAGCCTCTCAAATCTCTCAACATGGTATGCAAACCTCCCTCTATTTTACCCAACGCTTGACTTACATTAGGCGGCTAGTCTTTTCTACCAACCCAAATCTTCGAGGAGGGTACCACGGAAGAGAAGGGCGAGAATGCGCGCCTAGCTGCCTTTGTTGGTGCTATCGCCGTCGGTGATTTGGTGAAGAGCACTCTGGGACCCAAGGGCATGGACAAGATTCTTCAATCTGCGTATGTTCTCTTTTCATTGATGGTTTATAAGAGCGGGACTGATGGAACCATCTAGATCCACTGGAGATATCATGGTCACGAACGACGGTGCAACTATCCTCAAGTCTATCGCACTCGACAACGCCGCTGCCAAGGTCCTAGTCAACATTTCGAAAGTTCAAGATGACGAAGTCGGAGACGGAACCACATCTGTCGCCGTGCTCGCTGCCGAACTCCTCCGCGAGGCCGAGAAGCTTGTGGACAAGAAGATTCACCCCCAGACCATCATTGAGGGTTACAGAATAGCAAGCCAGGCATCTCTTAAGGCTTTGGAGGACTCCGCCGTCGATCACAGCAAGAGCCCCGAGGCTTTCCGAAAAGATCTTCTCGCCATCGCCCGCACGACTCTGAGCTCAAAGGTTCTCTCCCAAGACCGCAACCACTTTTCTGAGCTCGCCGTCGACGCCGTCCTTCGTCTCAAGCAATCTTCCGACTTGAGCCACATTCAGATTATCAAAAAAGCGGGTGGAAAGCTCAGCGAGTCCTACCTTGACGAGGGATTCATCTTGGACAAGAAGATCGGTGTGAACCAGCCAAAGCGACTGGAGAAGGCAAAGATCTTGGTGGCAAATACCTCCATGGATACTGACAAGGTGAAAATCTTTGGTGCTCGACTCAAGGTCGACTCCACCGGAAAGCTTGCAGAGCTGGAGAAGGCCGAGAAGGAGAAGATGAAGGCCAAGGTTGAGAAGATCAAGGCACATGGCATCAACTGCTTCATCAACCGTCAACTCATCTACAACTGGCCCGAGCAGCTCTTCACTGATGCCGGCATCATGTCCATTGAGCATGCCGACTTCGACGGAATCGAGCGTCTGGCACTTGTAACCGGCGGTGAGATTGCTTCCACCTTTGACCACCCCGACCAGGTCAGGCTCGGCCACTGCGACACGATCGAGGAGGTTATAATTGGAGAGGATACCCTGATTAAGTTTTCTGGCGTTGCCGCCGGCGAGGCTTGCACTATTGTTCTCCGAGGCGCCACAGACCAGTTGCTTGACGAAGCCGAGCGCAGCTTGCACGACGCCCTTGCCGTTCTCTCACAGACTGTTCGCGAGCCCCGGACGACCCTGGGTGGTGGATGCGCCGAAATGCTCATGGCCAAGGCTGTTGAGGGTGCTGCTACTCGTGTTGAGGGCAAGCGTCAACTTGCCGTGTCCGCCTTCGCCAATGCGCTGCGACAGCTGCCAACCATTCTGGCTGATAACGCTGGTTTGGATTCAGGAGACCTTGTTGCTCGCCTGCGCAAGGCGATCTACGAGGGTCTCACATCCTATGGCCTTGACCTGACAACCCCTGGTGGTGGCATTGCCGATATGCGGGATCTTGGTGTGGTTGAGAGCTATAAGCTGAAGAAGGCTGTCGTGTCTTCAGCTAGTGAAGCAGCTGAGGTAAGATCTACAGTCCTACGATCGCCGTGTTTTAACCATTCCATTTCATTTTGCTAACATTGGATACAGCTCCTTCTCCGAGTAGACGACATTATTCGGGCAGCTCCTCGCAGACGTGAGCGTATGTAAACAAAAGTTGAATATTTAGGTTTAATGGATGTTATGAACGAAAGCAACCCATATAGTAATATCCCATAGAACAATTTATCACACTTGTGAATGGACATACGCTCATAGATAGATGAATGCTCGTTATGACTTTCCCTGGTGATATGTTATAATACGTATGATCCACGAAGTACCGAATGAGAAGACGTGAACGCCGAAACATGCACAGCGTGGCCTACGGCTTTTTGATCTAACATCAACTTCGATTGCCATTGAATCTCAATGATTCCCTACGACCATGCAATGAGCAACGTTCGTTTGACAGCATAATACATGGGTGATGCGCCAACCAAACATCTTCTGTGTCGTACAACCAAATCTATTGCCAAGAAATATTCTCAGTTCCAATAGGTATTTTGAGTACCACAATGCAAAGCCTTCTCTGGGTTTAGTATTCACTTTTCATTCAAATACCTGCGTCAATAAGCCAACGGCGAGATGAAAGTGAGAAGCAGGGAAGCGACGACCGGCGTTGACCTCACAACGTTCTCACTTTGAGCACACCCTCATGCCACCACTTCTTCTCACTACCTATCTGTACTCCAGCATTTCGTTACCTTTCCACACTCTTTGATCCCGACCTTTCACCTTCTTTGAACTTTAGATTTCAAACCTGACAAAAGCTTCTACATCGCACCAACCCGCACCAGCCCAGTGCTTCCCCATCAACGCCAGCTGTTCTGACGTGAAATTTGATTCCAAAATGTCACCGTCGCAAACTCACCAGGTGCCGAGCGATGATGGCGAAAGCCTCGGTTCTGCGTCGAAAAAGAAGAAGTCATCGCGCAAGGATAAGCACAAGAAGTCCAAGGATGGAAAAACCAAGGACTCAAAGGATAAGAAAGGCAAGGACTCCAAGGATGAGAAAACCAAGCACTCCAAGGATGAGAAAACCAAGGACAAGAAGAAGAAGAAGAAGGACAAGAGCAAGAAGGCCGATGTTGACATCACCACTTCGAGCTCAGTAGTTCCTACACCCCAGAAGCAAAGCACGTCCAAAGTTTCGCCTTCATTACAGAGAGAGCTCAGTCCCGAGAGTCCTGTTCAGAGTGCTCCAGCACCTCAGACACGATCAGTGCCTACACCCCAGAAGACGCCCGTCTCCACGCCGCAGAAGCAGCGTGCCTACACTCCCCAGAAGCAGCCGACCAAGACGGTTTCGCCAACTCGGCTGGAGGTTCAGATTCCCAGCTCTTCCCAGCGTCGGGAAGAGTATGTGGAAATGACCTTGGACTCCAACGATGAGAGTGTCGAGGTGACGCCCACTGCAGATCCCAGGGCCAATCCTAGATTTTTGTCTGGAATGCAACTCCTGAGGAAAGAGGTGACCTCGCCATTTATTGCCGAGAACCAGGACGTGTTTGGCCCTGTGATTCCTGCGACACCCAAGAGCCAAGTTGGAAGCAAGCCGTCATCTGGAAAGAAGTCAAAGTCTGAGAGTGTGAAGAAAGAAACTGTGAAGAAAGAAAAAGTTACCACACCCTCGTCAGCGAAAAAGAAAAAGAAGAACGACCGCTACATCCCCGACCCCGCCGAGGTAGTTCAGTTGTCATCTGGCGATGATTCCGACTCTGAGCTTGAGCTTCAGGCTATATATGACACTCCCAAGGCAAAGAGCGCTTCGAGGACCACCACGCCGTCAAAACAGAGTATCGCAGCCACGATCAAAAATGCGGCATCATCTGGCACCGTCGATGACTCGGATATCGAGTTTCAAGCCATCCGCAAAACACCTCCTTCGAGAAACAGATCGCAGAGCCAGCCACCAAGCGCCAAGGTGTCCATGACTGCTCAGCGCAATGTCTCGACGCCCACAAAGAGCAGCCAGGTGGCTACACCGTCTTCACGCAGTGTCCGAACATCGGCATCCAAGCCCGATGGAAAGGAAGCATTCCAGGAGAGAGCTAGACGATGCCGTACTATGTCGCCTTCATTGGCTGACAAAACAAGCGGTTCCACGAAGCAGCAGCAAGCAAGTAAACCAACGCCGTTGCAAGCTCATAATCCCACAGTCAAGGGTACTCCGGCACCTATCAAGTATACTGCCTGCATCGACCTCACCCAGGCCATGACAAGTGATGATGAGAACTTCGAGAAGAAGCCCATGACTAGGTCCCATGCCCGAAAGGAGGCTTTGAGAACCACGCAGGTAGTGGCGGCAGATTCACACACCGGAAAGAAGAGGTCCTGGGAAGAAATGCATTCGAGCTCGCCTGTTCCAGAGAATGACAACCCGCCCAAGAAGCGCAAGCTGGAGAATGTCGTTTCTCGCATTGTGCGAAACAGTCTACGGGAGAAGGAAAAGCCAGTCAATGGAGTGGAGACGCTCCAACAACGCCGCCGCAGAGAATCGGCTGAGGCTCTTGCGTACTTTCATCTGACAGGATGGAAGAAACTGGACAAGAAGAACAAGCGATCACCGGTTGCGAGCAAGACAAAGGGAATCACATCGTTGTTCTCTTGGACCGAAGTTCGCAAACTCAAGAAGATGCTGCGCGAGAGGGCGGACTAGGGTAGTTCTACGCATGAAGGAGATGTATTACGGGGTCAGTGCTTTGATGATGAGTTTCTAAATTTGGCCCATAAGACTCGAGATGTCTTTGACCTTAATGGACAGGCCATGGCAGGGCCGCTTTGAATGTGTTGCTAGAGGTAGTTTACAAAAAGGCTTGAGGATGTGTGGAAGGGGTTGGACTTGATATCGTGCTGTTGGTTTAGCAGAACAGAAGCAGACATGCCCGGATCAATTGAATGAACGTTGCCATCACTGCCTGGTGCAGGAGCCGAACGTGATTCGCTCGAGCGATTTGCGCATGTTGTGGCAGCCAGCCCTTCTTTGTCGATGACTTGACTTGAACTTCTGTGCAGGTGTGTGTGCCAGGCCCATGCCCTCCATCTCCGAGGGAGCAACAGCAACGGGGTAATGTGGGGAATCTTATGCTTCATTTCCTTTTTCCTTTGGTGGTGTTGGATGGAGCGTCATGATCTGACCGATTACGCGATTGGGGCGGCCATCCCGAAGAGGAGGTGCGTGCATGCAGAAGAACGTGGATGGACGCTAGACGACGCCGTCCCGTCACCATGCTGTGCCATTGCCGCAGATCTGCTCTTCATCGTGGCCTACGAGTTTGTTATTTGCTGAGTTACTGAAAGGTTTATAGATCAGCAAGATTCAAGACACAGGCGTCATCGAAACCAGAGAGAAGAACACTGCCAGGTCTTTCCAGGACCAACAGATGTACCTCTGCAAGGCGACTCCTATTTTGTGCCAACAGGCTTGGGTTTAGATAAGGAATACGCCTATCTGCCTTGGTTCCTCACCATGCTGAGGTTTATTGGCTGCTAGACAGGTTCCAGCGAGATGAGACCCCGAGACCGAGATAGAGATCAAATTGCCTGCCCACCCGTTGCAACCTTGAGACGACAAACAAGAGATAAGTCCGCCTCGCGTGCTCATCTCGATGGGCAGCAGAGCACATGTCATCGCAGCCGTGGTGTGGTGACAAGATGCACACGTACCTGCATGCCACGGCAGTAGCCTAAGCCTACCTGGTGGCAGGTACCCGGCACCATCTGCACAGACCATGCCATGCTAATCAAATTCCGCTGCAGGAGGGCGGTTCGGCTGGGGGTTAATTTGGCAGGGTTGGCGACGGGCACAAGTCACGGCGACACCAACAGGCGCGTATGGATATACCTGGCATCGATTCTTGATCACGGGATGGGCATGTTAGCTGGTCATTATTGTTAATATTGCCAGGAGGGCAGCTAAGTGGCCTTGCTCCGCTCACAGGGAGAATTCGAAGCAGCCGGCCGGGTGAGGGAGGAGCTGTTGGTGCCAAAATTAAAAAACCTAATTACAGGCCTGTGCCGGCAGCAGGACGCACCTACAATAGCATGCAGGTACAACAATAGCAGAGAGGAAAATCCTTCTCCGTCGATTCATGGTGCGAGAATCAGAGAGGATGGAGACGATGGGCCGCTAATCTCGCTTCCCATTGGTGCCCCCCCCGGCAGCCGGCCCCTGCGCACCGGCCAATGGGAGAGGCTGCAGCCTTCAATCTGCCTACCTCCCGCTGTGGCTAGCTCCGACCAGCAGCTTGTTTGCTCTCCTTCCTGTTCATCAATCGAGCGTGCGCTAAAGGCCAGCAGGTTTAGGTGCTGCCTCGCTGGCTCCCTCAGGTCCTCAGGCCCCTCGAGGCTTCTATCCCTGCCCGGCCAGGTCAGGTACTGTGCATATCGGGTTAGTTGGTGCTGTTGGATGGGTGGATGAGTGGATGGAAGCCTCAATCATGGTCCATGGGTTTTCCTTTTCCTCCACACCCCTTCATCAGCACAGCGCAATTCTGGGTACAGCACCGCAATTTGAACATAGGTAGACTCTGCTCCCACCACCTCATGGACGATCATCCTCCTTCCCCTTCTCTTCCTCTTTCTGCCTCTCACTTGACTTGAGATCTAACTCAACCAGTCTTCTTCATTCGTTCATCGCTGGCCGTGGCCCCCATTCGCTGCTGTTCCCGTTCTTGGTGCTGTACGCCATACCATTCGCTCGACAACTTGTTATCTACCGCCCTTTTTAACCCTTTTTAGCCCTTCTTTATACGTCGTCCCCCTTGCTTGTTTACTTTGCACAGTAAGCGCCCTGTGGTGTGGCGGCATCTTCCTCCTGTTCCTGAGCCTGTCTGTGCCTGGCTTGACGCGCCCCACTCCCACCTGCTCACTGCCTCAAACCACACCCACCGCCTTGTCTCAAAAGTCCTGGCTTGACTTAACTCGACTGGAAGTCCCTTGTTTTGTTTGTTTCTTCGACCGTTTGTTCGTGGCTCATCCCCAACAGCCCGTCTCCTCAACACCGTCCCCGCCAATCGCCGAGAGAGACTGGAGCTCCTTGGCTTCCGATGCAGTCATGATTTACGATATTGACAGTGATACCGACTCGTCCCCGAATTCCCCTCCCGGAATGACCACCTCCAAAAGCTCCAAGACCTCCTCCTTCCACTCCTCTCTCCACGACGATGGCAGTGTCCTCAACGATGTAGGCCATTTCGAGGACATTGGTCTCGAAGACGACAATGACACCCTCAAAAACATGTCCCAATTGGGCATCTATGGTGTCGCGCCACCACCAACCGGAGCTTCTGTCACCTCTGGCCGGATCCTGGCTACCAACAGCCATCTCTCCCCCAAGCCTCGTTCATCCTTCCCGAATCTGCAAACAAACTTCCAGAATCCGAGGAGCACGAGCCTCACCGTTCTGGCCGATCCTGGCCGTCCCGCACCACCCTCTAAGCGATCATCCAGCCGTTCGGATCAATCGTCTTCTCCCCGAAACAGGAGCTTGAGTCCCAGCAATGTGGCTTTGAACCCCAAGGGACCTCGCATCCATCCCAAGCCTCGGCGGGGAAGCTGGCAGCCCGCACTTCGACACCGGAAATCGTTCGCCGAGCTTGAGCATGAGTGTGACGAGGATGAAGGCGACGACATTCCCGAAGGCATGTTTCTCGACAACGTTCCAATCTCACCACGACCCCAACATGAACGCCCTCCCAGCCGACAGCCATCACCTGCGCCTTCCATGGACCGATCTCACAAGGACCGTATCAGGAGTGTTGGCAATGGCACCCCCCCTGTGGCTCAAGCCCAAGGGTCTCTCCGCTCCCCTGCATGGAAAAACGAGGGCGAGTCCGTGTCACGCGAGAGGTCGCCAGTTGGCATGCCTTTGAAGCGGACATTGTCATGGAATGCAGGCTTCGCTGAATTGAGCGCTGAAGCTAAGAAGCTCACCGAAAAGCTGGAGGCACACGCCGATGAGATAGAACAACAGCGAACGCGACAGTCTCTGGGATCCAATCGCCCCAACACCTGGAACCCCGGCCGCTCATCCTCAGAATATTCCTACGAGAAGAAGTCGAGGATCAAATCGACGCCAGAGCTTCCTCCTTTGCGACGAACCAATGTCATGATTGACCCACTGCCTGTTTCTAGAGAGAAAGAGGCCGTTCTCAGCCGAACAAGACCTTCATGGCTGCCTCCCAAGGACCCCGCCGAAGAGAAGCGTCACCTACGAGAGTATCAGAGGATGATGGCGGCAAGCGCCAAAGCCGACGAGCGGCGAGAAGCTGCTCGCAGATCCAAGGAACAGTCCAAGGACGTGGTAGTTGATGGGTCTATGCGAGTGTGGGAGCAAGATATTCTGGCTCGCTGGGACGATGCTCTCCGTGAGAGGAAGACACGAGAGATGTGGTGGCGTGGTGTCCCTCCTAGAAGCCGCGGTGCGGTTTGGTCCCGGGCCATTGGCAATCCACTTGGGTTGTCCGAATCCTCCTTCGATGTGGCGCTGACGAGGGCTCATGAGTTGGAGCAGAGAGTGAAGGATCAAAAGGGGACGGCTGAGGATGCCAAAAGTGTCCAGTGGTTCCACGAGATTCGCCAAGATGTGACAAATAAGACCTGGAAGGACTTGCACGTTTTCAATGTTGGTGGCCCGTTGCACGATAACTTGGTGGATGTCTTGATGGCATACGCTATGTACCGAAATGATATTGGGTATATCTCTGGGTGCAACGTAAGTAGATCGCACAGGTTAACCCCTAGTTATTTGACTGGCTGTATTCTAACACTCCCTCACAGACCATCGCGGCTCTCCTTCTCCTCAACCTCCCTACCCCTGCGTCCACCTTCGTGGCTTTGGCCAACCTTCTCAACCGCTCTCTCCCGCTGTCATTCTATACGTCGGATGCAGGAGCCGAAGCATCTGCATACAATTTTGTTATTCAAACCCTCGCCGCCAAGTCAATTCCTCTTTACGACCATCTCAAAGGAATTCCAGATCTCACACCAGAAATGTACCTGTACCCGATTTTCACCAGTCTCTTCACCGGCCAGCTTGTAATCGACGAAGCCTCGCGGCTATTTGATATCTATGTTTTTGAAGGCGATACGACCCTTATTCGAGCCGCTGTCGCGTTTTTGCTCACCAAAGAGACTAAGCTCCACGGATGCAAGACCAAGAGCGATTTCTTTTCGCTTTTGTCCCAACCTCTTGCTGGAGAGGATGGTGCCACTGCAGCTACCCAGGCTCTGGCAACTGAGCAATTTATCAAGGCAGTCCGAGAAGTGAAAATGTCTTAATAGCTGGCCTGGCGCCTGCTTCACGGTTCTCAGCATAATATCATTTCACTTATGGACAAGGGCAGTTTTACCACACATTTATAGAAAGGTCTCACGGATCACGTTGTAGAGTATCATGAACGGCGTTTTTATCATTTCTTTGGGATTGGCGAGAAGTGCCATCCTTATTTTTTGTTATACTAGGATTCGGCAAGCGGTTTTTATTTTGGAAATTCTTTTGCTTTGGGATGGAGGCTACCTGCTTCGACACTTGTGTATATTTGCCTGCCACACGGCGTTCGTCCCCGACCGGTCTGGACATTGGATTGGCCCATGGGAGTCTTTGGCATGCCTGGTTTGAGGCAAAGCTGGGGGTGTATCTTGGCAGTATGGTGTCGTGATGTCAAATATCGTCCCGAGCTTGGTACTACTTATATAGTACATTATCTTAACAAAGAATCTTGAAAAGAAGATTCTCTTTACTTTTCCCTCCAACCTATCTATCCTCCTCAGTGACTGCTTCTTCTATTTTGACTTTCCCTATTCAAGAAGATCATCGCCACTTCTTGTTGAGCTGTGTTGAGCAAATACTGATATTGTCCCACGTAGGACATGCTTGGTTCCTAATCCGCTTGAAGTAATGCACAAACAGAGGAGAGTCGCCGCCTGGATACTGGCGATCTAGAGGCAGCCCTTCAAAACGCAAGCATCGTTCGCCAGGCGAGATTAGCTATTGGATCTGCCTAACCCCCCAGTAACCACCATCGAGTTGTCTATTATCAATGTATCATCAGTAGCATGAGTAGCATTTGTTATATACGTTTTAAGAATACAATGACCCGACGTTCCATTCCACCACTGGCGGTTTGCATATACCTTCCTCCACTACTTATGGTGCTTGTTAACTAGCTTATCAAATTGACACTCCCCATTCAAGTTTTGGCCTCCAGGCATTCGTTTTTATCCTGTTTTCTCTTTCATTTGGAAGGCATGGCTCCGCATAACCCCCTTAGCTACATAGCATTTCATCGCATACCAATGAAGCTTACCCTTTCCTACAAAGTATCCGAACTTCGGTTCCGTTCTAATTTGGCAATCTATAATTTAATGCCGTCTTTGGATGTGTTTCAATTAAGTCTGCACGGCGCCGACAATGAGTTCATTGGGCTCAACGAGTAGTTTGTAAGTCTGATCTAGAGAATGACTCTGGAAGTTCTCGAAACTAGCTCACAACCAATCCTGCTAGATCTTGAGGGGTAAAAGTGCAGCATGCATTGATTATTTAGAATGGTCTCAATCAAGTCTTACATTACATGAGAGCTCTCTCTTTTCCGGCTCTCTTTTTTTTCTTCCGGTGCTCAGTTGTTTAGCCCCCGACGCCGGATTAGAATGATTTAATAACTTGAACTCGGATTTGAAGAGGTCAGATGTTTGACCAAGTGAAAGTTCATCGCGAAAGCTTCCTTCTTCGTGATTTCATGCTGCATAGAGGATTCTACTCTCAGTCTTCCTGGAACGAAGTGGCTGGTGAAACCGCGAGGTAAACTAGACTCTCATTTTGATCAAAGCTAAATCCTGTATAGTCTGAGAGGCTAGTCACAGGGTGAATGGACGGATAGATTCAAGATGCGACATCTGTCATCCGTAGCTATCATCGTCCTCTATTTGCCCCTTTGTCAAGACTAGAACACTCATCGCCAAGACCTTTACATGTCTTACTTAATTAACAACTACACTATTTCGGACGAAACTATAAAGTAAATCTTCTTCATTGAAATTCATTGATTGTTAAGTTTGGAATGACAGTTACGTACAGAACTAGGCTGGCTAACTTAACATAGATCTCGCACATACAAAAAAAACATTAGTGTCTTGGCTGGGCAGATTTATCTAGGATGCGCATAGTATTTCGTTTGTCTTTGCAAGGAGTTCATGTCCGAAATCTGATATCTGTCAAAGAATCGAGCAATAACTCGATATGGCGCGATGCTGTCGCCATAATACGAAGCCAAACGACGGCGGTCTTCTCACCCATAAAATTCACAAGCGATATCCAGAAGACCAGATTTTGGATAAAGTGTTGGATAACAGCTGCAACAGATGATATTCTTGTAGTTTCTTCAGAAACATTCTCTAGGGAATCCCCTCGGCACATTAGTATGAGGCAGGCGTTACGGTCAACACACCTCCATCAGACAAGACGATGCTACCAGTAACATATCCTCCGGCGTTGGAGGAGAGCCAAAGCGTAAGGCCAGCCATGTCCTGGATGTTTCCTGGTCGTCCGACTGGCAAAATTGCCTTTGCTGCTTCTGGGTTGGCATTCAAAAATTGGATGACATGCTCAGTCATGTCAGAGGGGAAGACTGCATAGGTCAGTCACCGATGTTCAATCAACGGCTGGAATGGGGACGAAGAAAAACTCACTTCCTGGAACAATAGAGTTCACTCGGATGCGGTACATAGCCAGCGTCGTCGACAATCTCCTGACCAAGTCATTGGTGCCGGCTTTGCTAGCACCATACGCAAACTTGCTAGATGCCAGGCGAGAGTAGGCCGAGGCACTACCCATGATGATGATTTGACTCGACTGCGATACATTCCCAGCGGCATTCCCTGCATCCAAAAGAGGCAGGAAAGCAACGGCAGTGAAGTAGGATCCGGCGACGTTGGTCTCGAGGACGCTGTTGAAGTCCGCCACCTTGGGCGCCCACAGCAGCTCATACGCGTCCTTGAGTGAAGCACGGTTAGAGGCAGGCTGGTTTGCGTCGAGGCTGGCAGGAGGCTCGGGGCCCATGGCACCGGCATTGGCGACGACGAGATTCACATAGCCGCCACTTAGAGGATGGTCCTTGATGGTGGAGACAATGCGGGTGAGATCAGCTTTGGAGGTGATGTCTCCCTGGATAGGTATGATTTTTCCATGTTTCTAAAGAATCAGTCCTTTCTCAGCGTCATAATTCACCACGAAGATAACCCAAGGGAGGGGGAATATCATACGGCTTCTGTCTTAGCTGCCTCTTCCAGTTTCTCCTTACGGCGGCCGATGATGAATACTGTAGCACCATTCTCTTCCAATGCCTTGGTGATCATAAGGCCAACGCCTGCATAATTCCTTTAGCATATTGAGATGGTCGACTTCGACTTCCCTAAACCGAGGGACCAGGTGGGCAAGAAGGAAGACGCACCATTGTGACCTCCGGTAACCACCGCAACAAGACCATTGACCGCAAAAAGGGCCTGTGGGTTGAGTGAAGGCGATGCCATTGTGTTTTCGGAGATACTTGCACGTCTATTCGCTGATGCTGGTGCAGAGACTGACACAATGGAGAATCCAAATGGGGGAGTCGGTGGAATATACAAATGTCTACAAGCATTCTCATACAGGGGGACATAGACCAACTTATCACTCCACGATCTGCTAATAAATTGGGATTCTGGTTACTTGCGTCGTTTGCCCCTGTGTCCACCAGCCCAGGCGTGAGCCCAGCAAGAGCCGTCCGAGGTCGAGTGCCCGCTCATGCAGGCCGAATGTCACGGCACCAGCGCCGGACGTATATGCAGATTCTGTATATAGAGAGGGAGGGTATACGTAGTTGGTTCCATAAATGGAAGGTAGCTCTCAGTCGTCCATTGTGCCTTGGGGAATCAACGGAGCCCGGACAATTCATGCAAACATCCCCATTGTTAGGATTCAGCCCCTGCCCTGAATATTATGGAGTATGGAGGCACCTTGGCAGACTACTTTAACCAACAAACACAGAAATGAAAACGACGATCATCTATAGAAAGCACCAATGTTTGATGTAAAGTCTTCAACTCGTTGTTCGAGAACAAACAATGAGCTTCGGCTGGATCTGTTCTTTACACAGAGTCGCTAATACATAAAGGCTTTTCAGAGAATGGGTGGGTTGGTAGCAAGTCACGTCGCCGTACACTGCGTATGCCGCAGGGATGGATTGGGGTGCCTCCGATTGTCAATCTCCATGATAAAGGAACACTCTGTCCACGAATTATTCTCGGTCGCCCTCGAAGATATCTGCTATTAACCTCCTAGCAAAATCTGGTTGGAAATCGTGAAAACCAATAGTTTTGGCAGTATTCGAAACGGCAGTATTTGAGAAAGCCCAACGCAATCCTTTCGCCTTCAGCCACTCCACTTACAGTGTTGTATTGCATATGTATCACCAGCCTTGCTGCCTCGGCTTCCAAAGTCTGAACACGAGAACCTGTTTCGCTTCAGACGTATATGCAGCTAAGTATGCCCGTAACCAAATTGTGAGAGAAGAAGGGGTGTTGAAAATGTGGTGTGACATGCATTTGGTAGGATGTCACAAGATGGGCGACACGGGCTGGCAGAGAAAAATACTACCTCATTGTTAACGTTATATTGCTTTCATTACTTCTATATTTTGTTCTTAAACAGAAACACACTCTCAGGCCCTCGAAACGGAGTATCGTGTCTCTACCCTGATGCCATGCGGCGCTGCCGCCCTCGTTAGGTTTTTATCCGAGCCCGCACCGTCCAGACTTTTGGCTTCGTCGTCGTTCCTCGTTGCTGCGGTCTCGACCTTCATGTTGTTCATTTCCCAATGGCGCGTGTTTCTGCTCCCGCCCGCCGACGCACCAACCTGTCGGGCCGATGGTCCCCCAGAGTTGGGATGCTGCTGCTCGTAGTAATACCTCGCTGACGAATTGGGGTGTCGGTATCGCTTGTAGATGGGGGCTAGCATGGGGATGCTGACGCAGATAATGCCGAGGAGGGGTTCGATCTGGGAGATGAAGATGGAGATTGCCAATGTTCCCGTGAGGTTGTGGGTGAGATCGGCTCCCTTGATGTAGACGATGCGGAAGATGCCTGCTACGACAACGCTGTTGTAGTGTTAGCGATAATCAGTCCATGCCGCATCTTGTCCTTGAGATGGAAGTGAACACTCACGCGAGACCCAGCGAGAAGGCCATCATGAGACCCAATCGTTCAGCTACACGCAGCTTAAGGTTCCAGATGGTGTACATGGGCAACGCTATGATGATAACATCCGTTATGATGTTGGTGATAACCATGCTCTCATCCATAATCAGCTGATCCCCGCATTCCCCCGGAGTGAGCGGCATCCATTGCTTCTTGACCGGCTTGCATAAGAATGATGCCGCGAAGATGAAGGACACCATCCACACTGCGGATAGCGCCATGGTGGCAATGATCAGAAGCCGCGTGCGCCCGGCCGAGCCAAAGATTCGAAGGTAGAAGAAGAGTATGCTGAGTTTGATCGCTCCCAGGGCAAATAGGTAGACTATCTGTTGGACAAATATTATTTTGAGCATGTAGGTAATGTTGGCGCCGACTGCTAGCTGTATTAGACTCTGTAGATTGGGGCAGCTGAACCGATACTGGAAATAATGGGAAATCTGAGGCAGTTTGGAAGAGGCTCACGTTCGGGGTGTGTTGGCATATCATAGCCAATACCGAGAGTAGAGTCTGTTGGCTAGGTCAGCGTCTTCTGTTCAAAGCTTCTGTGTTCCCTTGAGGAGCTCTTACGTATTCCCTGGAAAATGACACCACAGAGCGCGAGAGGCTGATAAAGCCAAAGAGTTAGAATGGAGAGAAGCTGGTGAGATATGGGAAGCAAGTGAGCAACTCGCCTCTGCTGCAAGAATAAGCCAATCGTCGGGACCCAACCCAATTCCGATAAAGCGTCCCCAAACTCGTAGTGCCAGAATAACCAGAGATATGAAACCGAGGACAGAGTTGCATGCCAAGTAGCCGATGACATCGGTCCGCATCGGCGGATGAACAAGTGGTAGGTCTGTATCAGCCATGGTGAAGTCTGATACTAATCCCCTCTATCGTGAGGAGGAAGGTTGAACGAACACCGAACTTGAGATGAGGCCATCGAGAGCGGAAAAGGCCATTTCTTCCTGTTCCTGGTTGATGGGAGGGCCAGGGTCCTCGTAAATACTCTGCTGTACCTGCGACCCAGGGCTGCGCAGAGATCATCGGATGCTACCCCAGCTCAATGCAACCCTTCACACAGGAGTTCTCTTGTTGTCACATCACATGTATTTTCATCTGCCGAATAGCGGGCCAATGCAGCGAGTGTTATGCCTTTCCACTAGGGAATCCTCTTTCATGCAGGAGGTTGATGGGCGTGCCACTATCAATGTCACCAGATCGTCTTTGAGAGACCACGCCCCGAGTAGATGGCAGGGCAGAGTTAGAAAAGCCCTGATGCGGCTTACCCCGAAGCTGTCTTGCCCTGCAACCAACCAGAAGGCGGGAGTTGCATGCTGCATATTGCTTTTGGGAGCTTCTGCCCCATCCTTTGGTCCTTGCAGCGTGATGACTGTTTCTGGAGGGATATGCATAATAAAGCGGGCTTCGCAGGCGTAGGAATTATTTTTGGCAGATTCATCTTAGATTAGGTAGACTGTGAGAAAACTCTTTCTTAGGGAATAACATGACCTGTCCCATAACACGCCATGCGCCGTTCGCTTTTGCCGCCCGGCGCAGTAAACAGCCAGAAATGTTTTGACAGGTGTATCATGTAGGAATCCAAACCTGGTCAATAGCGTCACCCACTCCCTCGGAGAATCGGATCCCGCAATGTTTTTGCAACAGGCCAATTACTTGAGTGGGACTTGGAACATCCCAGCAAGCATCCCTATATTAATTGGCACTGTCTTGTGCCGGATGGCGTTCATGATCACCCTCGAGTGATTTGAGTGAGAGACTATGATTATCATGCCTGGAGATGACTCGGAACAACTACCGTTCCTCTCAGTTCCGTATACGCTGTTGCCGAGTAAATCGACAAGAAGAGTAGGGCCGAAGGATGTGAGACTAATGCACGGCCCGGGAATTGGCCAAACCCTCCCCGAAGGATCTGCCGTTACAATAGAGTTCTACCCGCCTTTACGCTCGAATCCTCCGGGAGACCTGAAGGTGGCAAGAGACGCACTCCTGAGACGGGATCTACTTACAAGTTGATTGCTATCCCACGCCGCCGAAGAAGTGGCGTCCGAGACAAAGAACTGGCGATGATCAATTGTTGATGAGGGGGAGTGCCGCGTGATGCTCGGTTTCTCCCCATGCTTTCGTTCATCGACCTATTACCCCCCCAGCACCTATTAAGAGTTTTTCCTTCGGTTATATCCCTTCTCAGTCAGATAAATTCTCCTCCTCCCATTTCTGGTTTGACGTCTGCTCGGCATGGTTACAGAAGACCCTCTTTTCAGAATTACGCGTCTTGTTTTCCCTGAGTAGAGATCTCGATTGCAGGTGTCAAGCAAGACGTCTTCTCTCTTGGGGATCACTTCCTTCAGTGGGGCTTATAATTAACCCTGATCTCATGGAGAGCCAGTCTGGTTGCCACCAGAGCGTGAAGGCGTCGTCGACCTGGCTAAACCTTGAAGCAGACTTGGCAGAGCAAAGCGCGACCCTGGTTGATAGCTTATGGAGGTATAGTTGGCCTGATTGCCCTTGTTTTCTCGTCCGATCATGCCCTTTCGAGCCTGCATTAACCCTGGGACCATGGTCAGGTCCAGGTGAGCAGCAAGGATGTGTGGAAGAAAGCGGTTGACCTTGCGAAAATCTTCAGGCAGTCCGTATTCTGGGGATTGGTTTCAGTCTGTAGTTAATTCACAGTTTCTTGGCCGGGGCTCTGCACCGATACGGCAAGTCACTGGCTTCTTTTCGTTTCCGATCCAATGGAAGCCAGCCTGCATGACAGGAGCTCGGTGAGGCAATGCGACTGTGTGTTCTACCATCTGCACAGCGCACAGACCGCGGATTTATTTCCCGGCCAGTTCACTCACCTTAACCTGTCAGTTTGGCTGCTGTTACTGGCTGTGCCGCAGGTCTATGCTCAAGGGCGGACGGACACTCCCAAGTAGGTGACATAGGAAATGGCACATCTAAGCATTCGCTTAACATATACTTGATCTATTATCTTTCATAGCTAGCTATGGAACTGCTAAATAAGATTGGAGGAAAAGACATCAAGATCTAAGTATTGATATTCTCTAATCTTTGTTCTAAAATTAGCTACTTATTAGATATTTAGATGCTTATTTGGGTAATTATTTAGGTGGTTATTTGGGTCTTCATTTGGGTGTGCCATTTCCTGTGTCACCCACTTGACTGCTCTTGGGGCACCCGATAGCTATGCTCTCATTATCCCTTGTTTCGGTCTGCATGTGCGGTAGACCGCTGTTGATGCGACCAATGATTTTTATGCTCCAGCCAAACGTTCACGGCGCGATTGAGTCAGGTCATTCAACTCGGTGGGTAACCATATCTCTAGACACTCGTCTAACGTCGCAACTCGCTGCTTCACACAACTATGCTCGCGGCTTCATGGAAAGTAGAAAAGGCGACTAGTCAAGTGTTCAGACAGCCAATGTTTCGTTCCAAGTGAATGAATGCCAAATTGTTCAAGGTATGGTGAGCCTCAACAAGTGGGTGGGGTATCTTCGCAAGACTTGTTATGGCACTTCAGCGCCAATGATTGGGATGCGACCAAAACAGCATTCATAAGAGTAACTTAAAATGTTTACGGAAGCAGAGCAACATCTCCTGTAAAAACGAGCGAGGGCGGCGGCATTAGGGGCGAATATGTCATAAGTTGTTTCTTTGCGAGCTACTTTGGCTATTGGCTTCAATGGTAGAGCAATGGCCAATGTAGACACGATGCTAGTCTACTCGCCATTTTCCAGGCAAGGGACTTTGGCCGAGTCAGCCCAGAGCGACCGAAGAAAGTGAGCTGGAAATCTCCCTCGGGTCTTAGATTTGTCATTACATGAATTTTTTTAAACGTCGAAGATGGTTTGGTAGTGATCTGCAGTGCCTCGCTTCGCCGCCCAATTCGGTCGATCACCTGCCACCTCCCACGCGTAGCTTTGCCTATATCGGAGGGAGGCAAAAGGGCACCAAGCTGCCACGCCGACCGGCAGGTACCAATGGCATAGGAATTCCGAATAGGTGCTCTCGATGGTTCGTGAATTACCGGGCCGGAAATCTAGTGAAGAATTGCGAATCAAGCCGGGCCGGGAAAACCGGGAGGACCGGGACAAACCAGACCCACGCCCGCCGTCGCCTCTCTCGCAAAAGGAATTCCGAGGGCGGCCCTGATGCGACACCATGAAGACGGGGGAAAGAAACGGCTGGAAAATGCGAAATTAGGGAGCGTTCCTGAGGAAATGCTGGCCTGGGCTGGGTGTGTCCGGCAAGGAAAATGGAGGGAGGGGTCAGCCATGTTGCAGCTTGTGTCATGGCTCGGCCGTAGGTTCCAGATCGTGTGGAGATTATGCCGGAGATCTGCATGTAAAATGACCCCATCACAAGCCCACCAAAAGAGGGGGCGGGGTCGTTGGAGAGGCTTTGAGTATCAACCTATGGATGATTCTTTCGACAGCCTCCCCACGCCAGCGAGTGGCCAGGCGAAAGATGGACAGACGCCGGGACGAGCCGGCTCAGAACTACCCGTTTGGCGTTTTCTGGACAGCTCTTTGGATGGGTTGAGGTTGGTGAGAAGCTCACTGACTAATAACTACCCCAACGTCTATGCGGTCCGGCCGGTCCCTCGTTGCTCGTGGCACGCTACCTTGTGCGCGTGCTCACGGCTGATATTTAACATGAGCTCGCCCGGTTTTGCAGAGCTTGGAGCTCTGAAGCTTAGTATTGTAGTCTTCCCCAGAGCAGAATAAAAGTTGATTGTTTCGTTTGTTCCTCCATTTCACAGTACAATCACATATCATGTCCACATCCGTTCTCTCATCACAGGTCAAGGACCAGTCCTTGATCGTCTCGTCCGGTCTCGTCAACGGCGAGTGGAGGACAGGCGCCAACGGCAAGACCTTCAACGTCTCCGAACCCTCCACCAACACCACTCTCCTCGAATGCGCCGACCTCGACAAGCAGGACTTCGTCGATGCCATTGCCAGCGCCAAGATCGGAACCAAGGAATTCCACGAGAACACAACCGCCAAGGAGAGAGGCGCTCTCTTGCGAAAATGGTACGACCTGATCATCGCCAACTCAGCAGACAGTACGTGAAGCAGCCCCTGGGAGCAAACAACCAAGCCTCATACTAACCTACAATCTAGTCGCAACTATCCTCTCTCTTGAGAACGGAAAGACCCGCGCCGAGGCCGAGGGTGAGGTCAAGTACGCTGCTGGCTTCATCTCCTGGTTCGCCGAGGAGGCCACCCGATCATACGGCGATGTCATCCCCTCCTCCTACCAAAACTCCATGGTCATCACACTCAAGGAGCCCGTCGGTGTCTGCGGCATCATCACTCCCTGGAACTTCCCCGCCGCCATGATCACTCGCAAGGTCGCCCCCGCCATCGCCGCCGGCTGCTCCGTCGTCATCAAGCCCCCCAGCGAGACCCCCTTCACAGCCCTCACCCTCGCAAAGCTGGCCCTCGAGGCCGGCATCCCCGCCAACTGCTTCCACGTCGTGCCCACCAAGAACCGCCAGGCCTCCATGGAGCTCGCCACCAGCCCCGACGTCAAGAAGCTGAGCTTCACTGGCTCCACCGGTGTCGGCAAGATCCTCACCCAGGCTGCTGCCGGCACCATGAAGCGCGTGAGCATGGAGCTCGGTGGAAACGCCCCCTTCATCGTCTTCGAGGATGCCGACCTCGACAAGGCCGTTGACGGCGCCATGATCTGCAAGTTCCGCGGCTCCGGCCAAACCTGCGTGGTATGTAAATTCCTCCCTTGTTCTTGAGAATCACACCGGCTTACAAGTTATCCCATAGTGCGCCAACCGTCTCCTGGTCCACGAAAAGGTCAAGGACGCCTTCGTCGAGAAGCTCGTCGCCCGCGTCAACGCCCTCAAGCTCGGCCGCGGCATCGACGAGGGCACCACCCAGGGCCCCCTGATCAACGCCGGTGCCGTCACCAAGGTCACCGAGCACGTCGCCGACGCCCTCGCCAAGGGCGGCGTCCTCCACGCCGGCGGCAAGCCCCCCGCCGACAGCAAGGGCTTCTTCTACGAGCCCACCGTCATCAGCGGCGCCACCTCCCAGATGCAGGTCGCCAACGACGAGACCTTTGGCCCCCTCGCCGCCATCTTCTCCTTCGCCTCCGAGAGCGAGGCCGTCGAGCTCGCCAACGCGACCGAGTTCGGTCTCGCGGGGTACTTCTTCAGCAAGGACATTGGCCGAGTCATGCGCGTCGCTCGCAAGCTCGAGTGCGGCATGGTGGGCGTCAACACTGGTCTGATGAGCGCTGCTGAGACTCCGTTTGGTGGAATCAAGGAGAGTGGTCTCGGTCGCGAGGGAAGCAAGTACGGTATGGCCGAGTACCAGAACATCAAGTCCATTACCATCGGAAACTTGGACAGCTAGATGCAAAATTAATGAGTATATAAAAGTGTATGAATGAATGAACAAATAAAAAAGTTTAAAACTTATTTTCACAACTTTGCTCGCGGTACACTCTTCGTTTGGTTTTTTTGTGATGTAGGGTATACTTTTGGCCGGCGTTCATCAAACCATTTTGTCCAGCAGAGTGCCAACTGTCAAATGGATCTGCAAGTTCCAAAAGAAGCCCATGGCTCTTGATGCGCAAAACATGAAGTAAAGTGATATTTCTCGGTGTACTCAATCCTAAGGCTTCAGCGTTTAACCTCGAGGCAGGTACGCATTGTTGCGCACAACGTACGATTAACGAGCAGCACATTGATACTACGAGCTGTCGAGTGATTGAGCGTGATCATATCTAATTCATAAATATGGCAAAAATTATACACACCTCCCAATCTCAACTGGACATCGTGATAGTCCATCATGCCGTATTACATTACTTCAATTTTGGGTCTGGTTCCCATCTCGCTTTGGCAAAAAGCTCTTTGGCACCACTGGTCGGTGCTCCTTCGTCGCGTCGTCCGTCCCCTCCATTCGGAGCACCTCCTGGCTCTCATTATCGCTCATGTCCCTCTCAGATCCCTTCCTCTTCCAGAACGGGACGTTGGGAGGAGATGAATCAGTCGGTAGCGATGTCACAGTCACCTCTGTCTCCTTCGTGATCATGATCTTCGACATGTGGTCAGCAGCGGCGTTCCCCTCCCCTGCCCAGGCGTTGGTGGAATGGTCAGCGAAATGGGTCATGTCGATGAATTCGTCCGAGTCGTGGTCCTCCTCGTTCCTCGTCAACTGTCTCTTGGTACGGGAACGGGAACGGTCGAAGGCAGAGGAGCCCGCGGCGGTGCCGTTCAGAGCATGAGATGGTCCGCCAGAGGGCCCCGACGGTCCCCCGCTGCTCGAGAAGCCCAGGCTAGCGCTGATGGTACGGACGAGAGGACGCAGGGTAGCAAGGCTGGCAGCTGTGATGGCGAGGCCCATCTCGACGTTGGACCAGACGGCGATAGGTGCGGTGGCCCCTGTGGTTAGAATCTCTGTTAGCAAGCCAGACTTCACAGTTGGCATAGGGTTGAAAGGACTCACAAAGATAGTCAGCATCTCGGAATGTCTCCACGTATGCAAAACGAACGGCGACCGCAGAGCTTGCGCTATTGATGGGAGTGTCAGCCTTCCTATCTCGTGCAACATCGGGGTTCTTGGGAGCTTACACGCTTCCTAGGAGGAAGATGGGGACCAGCAGCCATTTCGCACGCTTCTTCATCTTCAAATTCCACACAATGGCAATTGGGAGGAAGGCGAAGATGTAGTCGGTGACAATGCTGAACGTACTGAACGTATACGTCAGAGTGATGATGACGTTGATTCCGATGCATTTCCCGTCGCCTTGCCTGGTCCAAAAGTAGGGGATGGGCAGGCACTGAAACATGCAGACGAACATGAAGGTCGTTGTCGTGAGCGTTGTTACACAGAGGGAGATGTAAATGATCCACGAATGCAAGCGGGTCGACGATGTGATTCTCAGGAGGAAGACGGCAATGGACGCCTTTGAAGTAATCATGGTTAATGCATAACCGATGAAATCGAGATACCAATACTGTGAGATTATCGGATGGTCAGTCGTGCGCCACGAAAGCAAAGAGAGTAGATCTCACCATCATGGCATGTTGGATGCCCTCTATCGGAAGGTCAGCATGATGCCGTCCAGTTCCATAGTGAATACCAAGGAACATCCAAATGTTGTGGATTGTGTAGAATATCTGTATCGAAAAGAGTCAGCCATCAGTTTCCCCATCTTGGCCGACAACCGACCATAGGGCCCCCAATTCGGCCACAACACTCGACTTATACGTACCACGGAGGCGACGATGAGCCAATCGTCAAGTCCAAATGCCTTGACGAGATAAACGCGGACATAGGTTCGCAAAAGAACACAGAGCCATGCAACCGTCATAAAACAAGCGCCTACAGCGAGAAGCGCGCCCCCCTGGTTCTCGACGGCCATTGTCGGAAGCTCTCTATTCTGCGCCAAGTGCAGGTTTAGTGATGATATTGAGCCACGCGAAGAGAAGACCCCAGTAGGTGCGACTGCCGATGCAGGGACGTCGATCAATCACGGCCGAAGGGAAGAAAGAGACGCAGTAATAAAGAGTGACAAGAACTGGCAAAGAATTCCAATTTTGAGGGTCTGTGGAGCAAAGGTAAACGAACATCTTACAAGTGTGCATGATATGTCACTGTCACCCACGTTCTCAGCACATGGCGCTTGGAAAGACACGCGAAATTTGGACTACGAGACTAATACACCGAGACCCTGGACTCTATCTGTCCTATCAACCTCGAGACGATACTGGCCCATTACTCACTAGTGGCCTCTTGCACCAAATCGGCTCTTTTCCTGTGTGCGTTCGCCAGGGGCAGCAGGGGCAAAGTGGTCTTCGATATCATCAAGTGGGTAGGCTGAGAACCAGCGATACGATTCACCTAGAAGATTCGCCGGGGGATTCTCCTTCAAAGCTAGATTGGATTGTAGGCGACGCCCATCGAGCATTAGCGTGTTCCAAATAATAAAGGTAGTTTGAGGTCTAAACTTGCCTGGGGATGGCGTGGACGAATCTGCTGAAAACCGGGAACCGATGATATTGGTCTCGGGACATGAGTCCTGTAGCACAAACAACCTGTACCATATTCCCCAGATCTGTACTAGACCGTGCCTAGCACGACTCATTGGCCTCCATGCCGGAGTCGAGCATTATGTGCCTTCGCTTCGCAAGTCAACAGGTCACGTGATACATTGTAACCAGACGCTGTCCATTGTCCTTGCGACCAAGCTCTGTTGGTTGAAGAGATGATGAAAGTGGATGAAGATGGCAAAAGACTTCCTTCTACGCCGCAGCGTTCGATAATTGGAAATGTCTGGAGGCAGCCTGCCCCACGGCCAGACATTCAGGAGGATGCTGGCTTTGTGCTAAACCAACTAGCCCAGCGCCATCTGCCCCCATCTGCAAAAACAATCTGCAGAAGCTCCCAACCCAAGGAAGAAGCGAGTGAGGAGATGTTGGATCTGAAAACCACCGTTTTGCTTCCAAGCAGCAGTAGAGAAGGATGATGGCAAGTCGAAGCAGTGCATCCCCCTCTCTTCCTCGATTGGCGAAGATCGGCGATGGGCCGAGAGCCGTCCCCTCGATGTTCAACGGGAGAGGTGGACCTCCCAAGCCATTGACACGTTTCTCGCCGTTGAATTGCGAGGAGCCATGCTTTCGGTCAGCCCCTTTCTGACCTCGAGGAAGAGGGCGACTACTGTTGTGCGGTAGGTCACTGTGGTGGGGCACGTGCCACTGGTGGGTTCACTGATGCCCCAAACCGGAACCGGAACACAAACCCGACGCGGGGCGAAAAATTGGCCTCCACCATGGAAGGGAGATCCTCTTGACAAAAACAACCGCACACTTATTGTTTCCCTCCCTCCCTCTGCTCCAGCGTCTTGCCGTTGAGAAGGTTTCCGCCCATTCGCGCACGCACCAGACAAGCGCCATCATGCCAAGCGGCTACAAGCACGGAGACACGCCGAAACGGGCCATGGTGCGAGGCACCATCTCCTACCTAGAGTCCCAAGGTCTGCCCGTCAACAAGTCGGCCATCTTCCGCCACTTCGAGCTGTCGCGCTCCCAGGGATATGCGGCCCTCAACATCCCTGCGTCCAGGCGCAATGATCCAGAGTGGGAGGAGACGCGGGGACGGCCCTCGAAGATCACCGAGGCGGATCAGCAGAAGATGGAGAGCATTCTGTGGGACGAGCAGTACGAGAATGTCAACCTCAACTGGTCCAAGCTGGCCAAGGAGGCTGGCCTCGAGACAGAGTGCAATGCCAGGACTCTTCACCGCACCATGGGCACCATGGGCTACCGCCGCTGCATGGGGTGCAGTCGTTGCTGGGTGCACAAGAAGACACGGGAGAAGCGCGTCGAGCACGCAGAGCGTATGCTTGAATCTTTCCCCCAGCCTCAAGACTGGCACGCCGTGCGGTTCAGCGGCGAGCTGCACTTTGGCTTTGGGCTGGATGGCAAGGTGAGACTGCTGCCAAAGCTGGGAGAGAAGTATTGCCAGGGCTGCACTGACCAGCCGGCTGCAACTGCATGGGCCCGAGACATCAAAAGAGTGCATGCTTGGGCCGCAATTGGGTATGACTTCAAGTCCGAGCTGCTTTTCTACGACGAGTCTACGAGCCCGAACAATAGCGGGGTGATTTCAATGCAAGACTACTGCGAGAAGGTGCTGGATGGTGTCGTCAAGACGTGGATTTCAGCAGAGGGGGCTCAACCGTTTGTCCTGGAAGAGGATATCGAGTCGTTTGCTCATGGTGCGGCCAGCAAGGTGAACCCGGCTCAGCAGTGGAAAGAGGAGAATGGCTTAAGGTGCCACTTCAACTGCCTTGACAGTCCAGACCTCAATCCGCTCGACTCTCTGTGGCCGCCTCACAAGCAATGGTCCACACAGCCACTGGAGAATTGGGATACCGAAGGCTTGAAACAGGCGGCCCGCGACGCGTGGGCTAACATTGAGCAGCCGAAGGTCAACGCGTGGGTCGAGTCCATGCCCCAGAGACTGCGGCAAGTCATCGAAAATGAGGGGAAGATGTTTCCCTGGTGATCGGCGAGGAAAATTTTTTAATGGGCTGATAGGATTTGGGCTGTGAAACTCGACTTTTGATGATCGTGCTTGGATGGCGGGCGTTTGACCTGAAAGAGGCTGGCGTTATTCATTTCTTCTTGTGTGGCCTCCAGTCTATTACTGTGATACTACCTTGCCTACCGGGTTCATCAGTGTGATAGTAAAATTAATATGGGATTTTCTTTTTGCGCATAGAACCTTGCCCCTCCATGAAACTAGATAGTAGGGCGACAGGCAGGCGGCGTTGGAGTCTGGAACTCGCGGAACTATTTCAATCTTGCAAGCGAGATAAAACACACTCCAGCGACCTGCATGCCTCGAGGCCAGTGCGTCAAAATGCTTGTTGATGTGACGCTTTCCCGCCACTCATAGAGCTGATGACTGTCGTGCTATTGGCTGGATGCATGTCCCTGCAGGATTACTTCATGTTGTGTTTGCTTTTGTGAGATAGCGGTTACGAGTCCAGTTGCTCTGTTAACTGGACTAGTTCTGACGCCTTTCTTTTCTTTTTTCCCCGCCGGAACAGAAAAATTGGCAAGAAAATGACAGTGGTTGGGCCAGCATATCACGAATTGGGAGAGTGGTGTTCACACTCTCATCGCCTTGATCATTGAATTGATATTTAGTAGTTTTGAAGCCATGACCTGGCAGTTACATCAATAATTTCGATAATATCAATTCATACGAGTCAGCTATACAATAACTCACTAGAACTTGGCATTTAAACGGTAATTATATTGGGGAGCACTCAGATCTCACGGAGGTTGGGCTCATTCGTCCTCGAGAGTATCCACATGCAACGGTGGCTGCATCTATCCCAGCACGAGGCCAAGCGACTCATCGAATGGCAGGAAATTGAGACAAGGGCTGAAGCCAAAGATATGCAGGTGGCTCGCTTACCTGGGGACGGTGAGTACGTATATTGCTCTCTTTGGGAGGAAGTCGATTGTGGTCCTGGCAATACCGAGCTCTCTCATCTATCCGTGTCCCACCCCCGCTTCACTTGAAATACCCAGTTCCTCAGCCATTTCAGTTTAGTCAACTCGTCCTACTTGTGCTTTCTTTATTGCCACTCGTTATTCATGAGCTCGAAGCAACGTCTTGCCAGGCAAGCAAAGCCGGGTGATCGCATCCGCAGAGAGACTGAGTATCAGAAACCAGAAAACCAGCTCAGAAGCGGCTTTGTTCACCGAGAGACTCCCTTGGCTGACAAGATTATCTACGAAAGGCTGCAAGGGAAGGCCTACCAAGGCCCCACGACATCGCTCACTGGGGCGACAATGAACCCAGGCCTTGTGGCAGCGTATCCAGGTGGTCAGGTCAAGCCTGGAGAACCCAGCTCTGTCCGTCAGGGGAATCAAATGTCAGCTTCGCGTGGATCGGGTCAGAAACCTACTCAGAGGCCACAGACAGCGCGGCCTCGACCTGCACAGGTGTGTATGCATTCCATTTTCATCCCTCCTTCCTCTCTCTGCCAGTCAGTTCGAGCGAACACCCTGGTTCTGGCCTTCAATATCTGACGGTGTTTTGCCAAAGGTCTCAAAGCGCCCTGTTCCGAGACATCAGAGCAATACCGTCCAGAATGTGAGTGTTATTCCATGGCTCGAACCCGATCAAGATCAACGAAACCAAAACTCACACTTGAGCATCCATAGCAACCCTCGCGCAGAGCTAGCTCAAATGGCCAGAATATGGCACCCCGACAAAACAACCCAAGGCAACAGGCAAATGACCCTGAAGCTGATGCCAAGTCAAGCGGTCACACTGAAGAACAGGGTGAGAAGCACTGGATGGATACGATCATAGCCCACTCTAGGCTCTGCCTACAGCCCACCTGCACCCCCGACCAATTCATTGAATTAATGTTCAAGAAATTGCCTCCAGACGTGCAGAGTACCTTGCCGACTTGGCGGGACCTTCGCTCTCGTTTGACGGACACTTGTTCACGTCGCAGAAAAAGGTTGAAATACGAAGGGGTGCATGTCCTGTCACAACCTGATAGGACGAGCGCAGATAAGAATTTTGACATATGGAATCAGCTATACCACGCGCGGTATATTATCGACAATTGGCACAGCCTCAAGGCTGGCATGGCTGTTCTCAATGCATACCAGAGTGGGCGTGAAAATGCTCTGCCTGAAGTCTTGGGGATTTCGCCAGGTGCCTTGCTTCGTCTTTCAGACACTGACATGAACGAGGTTGTGAGTCCGCAAGATGTGATTGAGGCGACGGCCTTTGCCAAAGACCTCGAGGACTTCGGCGATTCACTTGGGCTGCACTCACCGGCAGCAACGGCGTCCGAGCCAGTCTCGAACACTGGCAGCTCGCGGATGCAGGACAGGGGAAAGGGTAAAGACAAGATTCCACCCCTGCAGGAATCGCGCTTCGCAGTCAAGTCTCAGTCCAACCGTCCGACACGCAGCGGCAGTATTGACTGGGAAGTTCCCGAGTCCGATGAAGAGGCGACCGTTGTTGCGGATAGAGAGACACCCTCGGGGGATTCCTCTAGACGTAGGGACAAGCGCAAGCGAGATAGCTCTGCCACGGGACCCCGCAAGAAGAAGAGAAAGCCACAGCTTCCAACAAAAGACGATACGGTGGTCACTATAACATCAGGTGACGAACTTGTCCTACCGGCGACGAGACATCAATCACGCGGACCCAGCAGAAGCAGCCCAGCGCCGCAGTCGAGGTCGAGGAGGGGGGGGAGTGTTCGATCTCCTGGACCCAGCCTGACACAGCAAGAGATGACGCCTCCGGACTCTACACCATGCCACAGGAAACCGAGTCCCCCGACCCCGAATCCCATTGGGTATATTCGTGGGAGAACTGCGGATTACCAGGGGATCCCTTTTCACAAACGTGAAAAAGCTATGGATATGCATCAAAAAGAAATGAATCTTCTCAAACGGAAACACCAGTACAAAAAGGAGCTAGAGAAGGGAATCAAGGTGGAAGATGAGGATGAGGTTCAGGGGGACATTGGCGATGGGAGCGAGTATGGTGATGATACGGGTGATGGGGGGGCTACTAGTGATAAGTGTACGAGCGACGAGAGTGAGGATACCAGTGACAAAGACGAGAACAGAAGGGATGGCGATTATCAAGAAAGGGAGAGGAAGTTGGAGCAAGATAGGAAGCGAAAGGAAGAAGAGGAGAAGGAAAGGATGGAAAAAGAGAAGAAGTTAAAAACGGAGAAGAAGAAGAAGAAAGAGGAGAGGGAGGAGAAGCAGAGGGAGGAGAAGCAGAGGGAGGAGAGGCAGAGGGAGGAGAGGCAGAGGGATGAGATGCAGAGGCAAGGGAGGGATCCGGAGAGAGGGTTAAGGAGACGCCCAAGAAAGAGAGGTCCAAGACGCAGGGGCAGACATTGGAGTCAAGGTATAACGGCATAGAGATGCGCCTCCGTGATCGACCGACGATAATTACAAAGCGTTCGCAATGTTTGGAATAGAGTTACGGTACGTAGAGGGAGACAATTTTGCAACTGATTATGTAGGCAGCTTGGATGGGAGAGTCGTAGGGGTAGGTAGTAGTAGATAGCAATACTTAGCCATCGGAACCAAGTAGAGTATACTGAGGGTAAAATTCCCCAACTGTTCAAGACATCACGTGCAGAGCCAAATGAGTGGATTGTGAGGCTTTGGTGATAATTCTTAATGTGACAGAGAAATCTGACTTGGTGTAGTTCCTTTCGGATCATGCCATGATACGAGTATCGACAACTACCCGGAACGTGTGGGGGGCCGATGGTTGGTTCCCCCACTAGAAAAAAAAAGTTTACAGCGTTGGAACTTGAGTAACCTTGAAAAAAAGGTGAAGGGTCCTTCTACTGTGGACTGACAGCGATGCACGCACAGTGAGGGGCAGCCAGCACGATACGTGTAATAGCGGACGCAAATAGCTGGATGGGGGGAACAGTCAGCAGAGGCCACAGTGGCAGTGGGGAGGCAGCCCTGGTCCAGGGCTTGTCTGGCCAGAAAATGCAAGTCGGGGAATAAAAGGCATGTGCAAAGTGGGAAGCTCAACAAATTTCCCAACAGAAACATCGCCCTGGAGAGACAGAACACAGTCCGCTCAGTCCGCCCGGGCTGACGGAACCAATCGGCTGCGATGCAATCCTGCTGCTTCCCCCGTCCTCTCGGTTTCGCTCTCCGGCCAGATATTGATTCCCCGTGACGCCACAACGGGACAACACGGCGGCATCTTCGTCTTCATCGTTCGAGTATCCGGACCATCTGGTCTGGTTGGTGGCATGGGACCTGTCGCTGGACGGGACGGTCGCAGGGTTCCCCCTCTCCCCGTCCCTCTTCACAATTTATACAGTGTGGGGCCAACCATGTAGATCATATTGCGGGACTTGAGAACCAATTCCGAGCTCGTCGTTTCTTACATGTGATGATAGCGGTGGCATTTGGGCTGTCGGCCGAGCTCCAACCTACATGAATCGGCTTCAACAAGGTCCAATTGTGAACTGGACTGCATTAGCAGACCACGTGTACCCACAGAGACCTGACCATTAGGAGCGGGCATCTGTCTTGTTCAGCTCTGTTCGTGTGCCGCGCTGCATGGCCAGCTGAAAGCTGAAAGCGACAGATGAGGTGGGAAGGAGTTTTGCTTCGACGCGGACACGGATAACGTGAGATGCGACCGCTAGAATCAACCCGCATCACACCATCAAGGAACAGAGCATAAGCGCCATGAGACAAGGGCCTTTGGACACATGATTGTTGTCGGCAATTCTCCGTCGTCAACGGATCCTCCTTCATGGGGGCGGGGTCGTTGGCGTGGACGAAACGACATAGCCCGAGCTGAACCCATCTTCACCCCAATGGATGTCTCCCGCGCCGGCGGTAATAATGGCACTACCGGCGCCATGTCTCATATCTGCCTTGGCCTCCGTGGCGGTCAATGATTTAGCTGCGCGATGATTGGGGTAGATGCAGGACACTGTGTTTTAATCACCGCCTATCCATTTGTCGAGGTGCATCAAGTTCTGGTGGCGGCGGGGAACCTGGAATCGAGCAAGGGATGGCCAGAGGCAGCCGACTGAATACTTCTCTCTCAGTTGATGCGCCTTGCCGCTTCCCAGACACAAGGGCCTCCTACAATTTGACAAGGGTTGGGCAACGGGATCTCACGTGAAGTTGATAGGCTCTGGCATGTACATTCCTGGGCTGTGCCAAACTCTTCGCCATTGTTCTGAACGGGAATTTATCGTCACTTGTTACACCGGCTGGAGATAGCCCAGGGGCCAAGGCTGGCATCTCCTCCACCGACCTCCACCCGCATACTGTGGTAGGGCAGGCAGGGATTTTCCTGCTCATCTGGGTTTCCAACGAGGCCGGACTAAGAAACAACTTGCGTCACCGCGCGATGTAGCATTGTGTACTTCTAGAAGAACGAATTTGCTCATCTGGCGCTTGGTAGATCAGATCTAGGGCACTGGTCCATACCTGGCATGAGTAATGTGGCAGCCATGAACCGCGTCCAGGTAATTTAATAGGCCCTTCGGGCAATGTACACACACTGAATCGTGTGCTAATGGCTGCTGATGGTGGGTGGCGTCGGTGGAAGAAGCTGTGTGTGTGGTGGGTGGATGAGATGGATGGCTGACGGGCCCTTGACCCATTGGCCATGGTGTGCTTAACCACGTTCCTATCGTAGACCAATGCCTCGGTGCGTGCTAGGAATCAGACTACCGTGCTAGCCCCGGACAGGCACATAGCTTATCATCAACTCTGCTTGATGGAGGGTTGGAGGGATCCTTCGTCGGTTTGCTTGTTGCAGGTGTTCCCGGCACCACGACCGCGTCGGCCAGCGTTCGGAAGCAAAAAACATGTGATTTTGTCGTCGTTGCTTTGGAATAGGAACAATAATAGAGATGCGCTGGCAGGGGGCGCCAGTTCTTTCCTCAAAGGCAGTCGGCTTCTTCCTTCTTGCCTGGCCCTTCCTTCCGGACCCTGTTCTGGATGACTTTGGTCCCTGGCTCCACGACCGAACCCCAACAAAAAAATACCTACACGAGCCGGCCTGGACTAGCCTCTGGCCCTCCACCCCTCGCATCTTTGGTGCCCGTGGCCACCTGCAAGCCGCCTTTTTTTCCCTGCCCTTAATTTTTTTGGACAAAGGAGTAAAAAATTGGCTTATCATTTCTAGGTACGGCAACATACATCTCTCCTGATTCTGTGACCCCTGCTTCCTGACTCGGGGGGGCCAGCTCATCTTTTTCTATCCTCCCTTTCCCACTTCCTTCCCACCTCCCCGCCAGAGCATCTTCCTTTTTCCCTTTCACCTTGCCCATCCCGTTCTCTCGGCTTATTCAGGGGCGTTCAGTTGATTCTCAGTCGTCAATTGGAACTCGCGGGGACCCAATTGTCTAACAGCAAAGACACAGAGTTCCCCCAGGGAATCGAAAGGCCCATTCATCATGGCATCCGCTGTTGCTTCTGGTGCCGCCAGGCGTGGCCCAGCTCTCAAGCGAACCGCGACGTCGACCACAGTCACCGACTCCGAGTCCTCTGCCGCAGTTTCTCCCAGCGATTCTCCTCGTCCCTCTGCCTCCTCCACCTCCTTGTCGTCAATGTCATCCATTGAGTTCGACGCCAAGGCCAAGTACGGCCCTCTGATCGATACCAACGGCAACGAGTTTACCCCACCCGACTACACCATCAAGGACATCCGCGATGCCATCCCCAAGCACTGCTTCGAGCGTTCCGCCATCACTGGCTGGGCATACATCCTCCGCGACATGGCCTGCCTGGCCACCACATTCTATGTGTGGTATAACTTCGTCACTCCTGAGTACATCCCCCTCATGCCCGTTCGAGCCGTCCTCTGGGGCGTCTACACCTTCCTCCAGGGCCTCTTCGGCACCGGTCTCTGGGTCATTGCCCACGAGTGCGGTCACCAGGCCTTCTCCGAGTCGCGCCTGATCAACGACACCACCGGCTGGCTCCTCCACTCCGCACTGTTGGTCCCCTACTTCAGCTGGCAATACTCCCACTCCAAGCACCACAAGGCCACTGGCAACATGGAGAGAGACATGGTCTTCGTGCCCAAGACTCGCGAGCAGTACGCCTCTCGCGTTGGCAAGATGATCCATGAGCTGTCGGAACTCACCGCTGAGACTCCCATCTTCAGCCTCGGCATGCTCATTGCCCAGCAGCTCTTCGGCTGGCCCAACTACATCCTGACCAATGTCACCGGCCACAACTTCCACGAGCGTCAACGCGAGGGCCGCGGCAAGGGCAAGCACAACGGTCTTGGTGGTGGTGTCAACCACTTTGACCCACGCAGTCCTATCTTCGATAACAAGGAGGCCAAGTTTATTGTCGTCAGCGACATCGGTATCGCTCTGACCGTAGGAGCTCTGTACTTCCTCAGCAGCAAATTTGGATTGACCAATATGCTCGTATGGTACTTCATTCCCTATCTCTGGGTCAACCACTGGCTTGGTAAGTAGACGCATTTCCTAGTTTGAGATCCGCATGGCCATATGTCAGCCAGCTAACCACTCACTATGCAGTCGCCATTACCTTCCTCCAGCACACCGACCCTACCCTTCCTCACTACCACTCCGAGGAGTGGAACTTCGTCCGTGGCGCTGCTGCCACCATTGATCGCGAGTTTGGGTTCATCGGCCGACAGCTTTTCCACGGAATCATCGAGACCCACGTCTTGCACCACTACGTCAGCACCATTCCTTTCTACAAGGCTGATGAGGCTTCGGAGGCCATCAAGCCCGTCATGGGCAAGCACTACCGTGCTGATGTCGAGGGCGGCTCGTGGGGATTCATCCGTGCCATGTACAGGAGTGCCCGTATGTGCCAGTGGGTTGAGCCTACCGAGGGCGCTGAGGGGGCGGCCAAGAACATCCTGTTCTTCCGCAACCGCAATGGTCTGGGGACCAAGCCTACCAAGCTGGCGGCCCCTCAGTAATGGAGACGAAGCTCACTTTTGTCTCTTGATCGATTGAAACGAACGAAAACGAAACCCCCCATCCGTGTCTGCAAATTGGGATATTATTGTAAAGACGAAATGTGACAAGGTGAAAATAAAACGAGCATAATCTTGAAATTGACGGCTTTGAAGTTGAATTATGCCTGGCAAGACTGATTTTTTCTTGTCTGGGTTGACCCCGACAATGTCTCTTCGAGAAGAGCGGGATCCTGGTGTCAGCGATCAGCAGATAGAGAAATTTATAATAGATCGTCCAAGAGACGAGTCTTTCTTCCCTCTTTGATTTTTGGAAATGACAAGAAGCCGCAGAGGCTGTCCCTCGCGTGTGCGTTCTGGTGACTGCTCTTATTGTGCCATGTTCCGGAAGTGTCGGGAGGAGGAGAGTGAGGAGAAAACGATCTTCGATCGAAAGCGGGCAGGCGGGGTCCCGTGGTCTTTTATACGACCCTTTCTCGAGCCACTCACACACAAGGGATTTCACATTCGCCAGACCCGGCTGATACTCTGCATAGGTAGGTAGGTATTAACATATTAATAATGATTGGTTGTCTCCAAGGCAATCGTAAATGGCTGGTGACTTGACTACATGCACATTGTACACATCGTGCACGTGACTCCCCTCGTTACTCAGGGAGGACCGGGATTGGATTGCCAGAACTTCAGTGAACACCGTTCTGAACACCGTTCGCGTCTGCGCAGCGCCACAAATTCTTCGAGAGACATCGATCTGGTAATCGCATGCTCTGTAGGGCTCAGACCAGGGCTGTGGCCAAATGCACGGAAGCAACGCGGTATTCTGACCACCTTCGCACCCACACGTTTCAACGTTCGACACACGCCTCCATGCATGATGCATTGATTACGCCACTACCTCCGGGACTTACAGACTTAATGAATGCGTATTCGGCGGTTGCTTGATGCAACGGCTGGCGCTTTGAGGCTCTGCAGACCCGGAGTTTATATCGCCGTACGTCTATGACCGAAGAACGGAGAAACGGTAGAGCGAGACCGAAATGTCAGTCGACACCAGTGGAGAAAGCCGGGTCCGGCGCTTTCCTATTTTATGCTCTCCTGTTGCTCTCCTGGTGAAGCTAAGAGAAAGGTCTACGACGGAGAAGATAATTACCAAGCTTAGACAACCACGCGCGAGCTTCCTATCTCCGGCGGGCAGTCTCTATGCGCCCGCGATGCTGGAGGTCTAGTTATTCGCTGCCGATTCGGTCTACTGGTCATATCGATCGATGAAGCAATGATGGTGTGTCATCCGACGACAATGCACTGAACCTAAAGCTGGAAGAGGTGTATATATATTGAAGTGCTTGGACAGCACCGCTCAGCATGTCTTCAATTCGAATATTCATCCTTCTCACAGTTTAATCGTGGAAAATAATATCATCCTATCCTTCCAATTCGGCATGGCTCCTCAAAACTACGCCAAGGACCAGCCTTCGGGCTTCACAAATAGAATTGAGCGCGTGGCTATCGTTGGTGTTCGTCTCTTCCCCTCCCTTCCTGACTAGCCCTTCAAGCAAGCTTCATCATCTAATCATCGTGCTCAATTAGGCTGGAGGCGACGGTGTTGGAAGTCACATGGCCAAGGCTCTCCTGGCCACGGGCAAGCACAGTGTGACCGCCATCTCCCGCGTCGGGAGCACGAACACACTGCCCGAGGGCATCAAGGTCGCCCGTATCGACTACGACGACGAGAGCTCACTCGTCTCCGCCCTCAGGGGACAGCAGTTTCTCATCATCACCTTGTCCGTTATGGCGCCCCAGGAAACGCAGGGCAAGCTCATCACCGCTGCGGCCAAGGCTGGCGTCCCCTGGGTCATGCCCAACTGCACAGGCCCCGATTTCATCAACGAGTCTCTGGCCAAAGAGAACCTGATTGGAGCCGGCGTCAGAGCCAGCACCGACGCTATTGAGAAGGCAGGTGTCTCTTCCTGGATCGCCCTCGTTTGCGGTTTCTGGTATGAGCACTCGCTGTCCTTGGGAGAGGGCTGGTTCGGCTTTGACTTTCCAAACCGGAAGGTCACCATGATCGATGATGGCAAGACGCGCATCAACACGTCGACTTTGGAGCAGTGCGGCCGTGCCATTGCTAGCTTGCTCAGTTTGAAGGAGCTGCCCGACGACGCGAATGACACGGCGCCGACCATTTCGCAGTGGCGTAATCAACCGGTCTACATCTCGAGCTTCCTCACATCCCAGAGAGATATGCTTGACAGTGTGCACCGTGCATTGGGGACGAAGGATGCGGACTGGGAGATCAAGCATGAGCCATCGAAGGCTCGGTACAAGAAGGGCCTCGAGCTCTTGAAGAGCGGCTCTCACCTGGGATTTGGGATATGCATGTATACGCGCACGTTCTATCCCAACGGGGATGGTAATTTCCAGGACAAGCTTTCCAATGAAGTTCTTGGATTGTCTGAGGAGAACCTCGATGATGCGACTGTGAACGCGATCAAGCTGGTCGACAGCGGTTACAGCTACCGGTGAAGACCGCTGGCACACCCGATCTGACTGCGACAGGTCTTGCGCCTGCCAGGAGCAAATGAATAAATTCAATTCGTCTATTTCGTGAATTAGAAATTTCTTGGCGGGTTGGGATTACGGGCAAGTTAGAATAGCCCTGTGCTCGGAAGACTCTGCGTCGCATCCAAACGGATGCACCGGAACATGAGCCCAACAGCCTCTGCTTCCTTGATACTTAAATTTTCGTCCCCGCAGTCCCAGTAATAAAACAATTCAATGAATTGTATGTTGTATTTACTTCGGAAGCCGTGGCCGTGATTATCGGGTGAGTGTCGTTTGTCTTTACCATCCGTGATATTGTATTCCTAGCGTTAGAGAGCCAATCCCCGACGGTGGTTCTCACAGTCAGTTTGATTGGATTATACCTAGCCTCTACGTCTGAAACGACGATTAGTTTATGGCCGGAGATCGAGATCGTGGCGTGATTTTGTCGCCCGTGTACCCTTTATAGGCTTAGAGTTCAGGCGGATACGTATGCTGAATCTCAAGAATGCAGGATATACTTAGTGTCTCCAATCCACGACACTCATGGTGATCACTCGAGCTTATCTTTCACAAATAAGATCGACCCAAGATTAGAATGCATTCCACCTAGATAATATACCATTGACTCTCAAAAGCTCTGATATGCTGGGCCGTTAGGCGGTACAGTTTGAGATGGGCGTTTCTCCGATGGGGAAGCACTGTGGCCTCCTATGACCATGATACTGGTGGATAGACAGTCAACTCTATCCTGGCTAAAGTTTGGTCTCAATTTCAAAGCAGAGCTAAAGGCAAGCCTTCTCATGCCATCAATCCAAACGCAGATAAGTAGTACTGTCATCATTTTCTGTCACGCGCTATGAACATGGTGGCTTTAACTGACGTTAGTTTTTCATCTTGAATCACTATTGACGTTCCATTTTAAATCAACAAGATCGAGGAATTCAGCTATGGCTGATTGGGGAAAAAAGGCATAGAATGCAGGTATGAGTTGCGTGCTCATAGTTCAGATGTGGCGGTAATGGCTTGTAACATTGGTCACTATTTTAAGCCACAGGATCGGTTGCTGATAAGCCCAGCTCAACCAGACTTCCGACACTACCAAGCATAGATAAATACACTATGGAAGAACAAGGAGCAGACTGGGCACATTTAAACACAGTTGGTTCCTCCAGGGATGAAGGTTCCGTCCGAGTTTTCGCATCCACACGTTCCATCGTCAGGTGATCGAATACAACCTGTGCCAACGCCAGATTCGGCGCCATTGTCGCTACACACAGCTTAGAATGCAAGTACATATAATTTGATTGTTCATATGATAACCAAGGGAGAACTTACTTCCAGAAGAAAACCCAGTAATCGGAGTTGGCAGTCAGTTCTGCCTGCGTAGGGGCGGTGCATGTGTACGCCTAACGAGTTATTAGCCATAACTACTCCTTGAAATGTTCGAGGTTTTCCATTACTTGACACGTTCCATAGGGTGCTCCATTGTTCTTGTCGTACTGGTGGTCGACTTTGAAGACTGCAAAGGTCTGCTTGCCGGATACTCTAGTATTATGAGAGCATTCTGCGGCCTGGATGGCCTTGGAGGTCTTGGCAGCTTTTCGGCGTGTTAATGCAACTTTCTTCAACTCTTTCAGTAAATCAATATTGAATGGGGCTTAGACATACGAGAACATGCTGGAGAAGCCGGGTAATATCCCTTGCTGTTGCTGGAAGCTGGGTCGAGTGTAGCGGTAACTGAAGCCGCCACAGCAAGGAGAGACACGATGGTGGAAAGTTGAAGCATGGTGAATAGAAGTTGACTCGAGGCTAATGGGATGGATTGTATTGACGTTAAAAATTATGATGGCAGAGGGCCATTATATATTCAGCCTGCAAAGCATGGAATAATTACTGTGCCGATCCTGGATTGATACAAAACGCGGATGGGTCCCAACCATCTGCATTCTCGTGTCATCGCTCACAATGAAACACCTATGTGGATCTAAACGGCGGCACGCGTCAGTGTCATGCCGCAGAAATCGTAGCCTCAAATCTCAATGGTTCAAATCAGGGCTGATCAGCGAGTGAGGACCCTTGTCGTCAATCTTGCGGTGGCATCGCATTTCCGGTGTCATGAAACCGGAAGGTCTCTTCCGACCACTAAAACCGGCACTTCCGTTGGGGTTATGAAACCCATGAGCCGACTCTCAATACACGGCCCGACGATAATCAGAGATGTGAAGAATCAAGAACTTACCGCTGATTGCTAGTCGCTGCTTTCAACAAAAACTCTACAGTATTTCCAATTGTCCGAGGTGTAGCTTGCTAGCTTGCGATTTCATGGCAGGTGTTTATAATCACAACGTGGAAGGATGTTGAGTAAATTCACGAGTTTCATGAATCGACCTGCGAAACCAGGGAAGCCAATAGAATAACAATAATTCTCAGATCTCGTATTCTCTCAACAAACCTAAACCTTGTCCGTAACAGTCCACCATAAATCTGAGAAATGTTCCCACGACTCAGGTAAATGCACGTAGGTCAAAAGTGTGAGAGGTACGCCGAGCGTTTTCCTAATCTAGTTATTGTATGCGAAACATACGATGTTTGTTTAACGAACAGGTTTGGATTGCACCGCCAGTCAGGTAAAGGCTAGTTGCAACCCTCAAGGTGATGAGTCTTTGAATAAGACTAGCCTCCTAATATAAACCAAATCATCGTTCGCTATGTATCATCCAAAGTTCATAACTCAAGTTGCCGGTGTACTAAACTAATGCTACCATGAATCTCTCCACTTGTGACGCGCGGCATGCATATGTAACTCATAACATAGTGACTGGCTAGTTTCCTCGCTTCCGGCGGGAACAAGATGCCTCATCAGACATAGTTATGCATTACCATAAAAACGTATCAATAATTGAAACTTGGCGTACGCAGCCCTGTGGGAGGGAAGGTAAATATATAATATATTAGTGGCACCGAGTCTTACTTCGATTGAGACGTCAACATTCAAAAACTAGAGGCTCCTCTCCTCTCAGCGAGCGCCACTTGTTGGTAGCCTCAAGAATGTCATTACATCCCTTGATGGACCATCCCCACTTCCTCACAAATCCTTCTGATAGCTCCCAACCATTGAAGTCCCAGGGAGGCGACCAAACAATGATGCCACGCCGCTCGCACTCCGCGGCAAGTTCTCCCTGGAACAGACCTCCCAACGTATCGGAACACAGATCGCACTCATTAAATCTGCCTTCCGCTTGTATGAAATTGTCCCTCCATCTTGGGTGTGGGAAGATATCAATCCAACCGCCATGCGGAATTATTGATTGGGTTTTGGTAGGGTGTAAACTTGCGGGAAGCCCTTGGCTGTTAGCTAACGCGGGGAGGACACGCAATATTCCAGGCGTGTAAGTATAAGATATCCCATCGGGCTCTAGAGCTGAGAGTAGACGTTTATTGAGGATCACAGCACGCATGACGTTGAATTGAATCAGTATCATTAGATGGTCAGACGATAGAGGGAAGATGATTCCGGCAGAGTTTTGTCTTATAACCGGCGAAGTGTTCTCGTAATTCAGCGCTCTGGCTTGGGATTCTTGTAAATAGAGGACTTTCTGGCGTTGATCGTCCCAACAAGCTACAAGGCCTTCTTGTTGGGATAACTTAGCTCCTTCAAGTGCTTTTCGGCGCCCTGAAGAGGGTCAGCATAGAAGTCAAATGGATATTGCCTCCAGGGCTTGCCAGGACGTACGATGCGCTCTCATGTTTAGCCTCGTCTGCCTTTTGCGTCGAGCAGCTGGATCCGAAAGGCCTGTCCAATTATCATCTGTATCATTCGCCTAAAATAGTGAGCTGCATGGCAATAATTATTCCCACAGCAAGATGATAAGCATACCTCAACAAGCTGCTGCATTGGAGAGAGTGAAACGAACCCTCTGGTTACGGGGTGTGAGACCATTTTTTTTTCATGTTTCCAAGGGTCTATCCGGGTCAATGAAGCTACTAGATCTTAGGAAATAGCTCGGTTTCACGATATTCACAAGCCATTCAATGTTAGATGAACTTTCTCATACGATACGAGCAGAGGAACCGGAGCTAAGAACGGACTTAGCAGGCTCCAAAGTCCGCCCGGGAACTTGTCAGATGAACTGTCTACCGCTCGCACTCTGGAACCAGGTGTGATCCCAGTCATTCTGCAGAAATACAGGCTGTTTGAAGATTAGCGCAATGCAGTCTGCTCATATCGAAATCAGGCTTAATTGCGGTGCTCCCTATCGCAGTTCTTTAAACATAGGCGAAGGTCTCGGCCTTTTTAACAAGGTGTAGATTCTGACTAGCGGGAGACCTAGCATATAAATTGTTTCGTATAAAAGGGAAGTGTATTATGATACCTTCCTATACGTCGAGCCTAGGATGACACTATAATTTAGTAGAGAACTCGTTAAGTGAACTGCGTAAGCGGGTAGTGTTAGAGTGTGTGAAGTCAAGGCGTATGAACTAAGCCCATCTACATAGCAGTTGTATTGTTACTGACCAAGTAGTGAACTTTTAAAGGGAGACACTAAGGTGCATGGAGAGAAAATCCGGACAATTGAATCATGTTTTGAATTAATTTGAATTAATTAGTAAATATTACTATCCTGATTCTCTCAGTCTATTGTTGAACAATTTATCTATAAATAGGAAAAACGGAAAACGACTTTCAATAGATCATGCCGGCATAGCGCATTCAGGGGGGTAGATGGGATTGGTGCTTGAAGTAGCTTGCCCAGCCACAGTGAGAGTGAGTTTCGCGGTCGTGCCCGAAGCCTTTCCAAAAACAACACGGATTGGGTAATATTGACCTGCAACCACCGCCTTGGTGAAACTACCAGCACCGGCCAGATTCCTGCCGGCCGTGGAAGCTGTTGGAAGACCCGTCTTGCAGTCATAGGCGTAGGCATGGCCCCAGTAAACGGAAGCGGTGTCATCGACTGTGCTGATTGCAACCGTAACGTTACCAGTTGTGGTAGCCTTATAGAGGCCACTCCAAACAGCGGTGAAGTTGTTGAGGTTGACATTGAGACCGCCAATGCTGGCGCTCCAGTTCGGGTAGTATCTCTGGCCACTGATTGTAGTGTATGTGCCAGACGCAGTGCTCGCGAAGTTGGTCGTATTTGTGTGAGTTGAGCCCAAAGGAGAGAGCTTTTCGGAAATATAGTAGTAGTCAGACTTAGCACCAGTACCGGTGTAGCCATAACCGGTGTAGAAGGTGTTGGCATAGATATCCATGTCCCAACCAAGCGCCTTGCAGCCAGTCCTGATGGTCGTGCAGGATGAGCCTGTGGTTGATGCCAGGTATGACTGAGTGCTGGTCGATGACGAGCTAGAGGTCGTGCTGGGAGCAGCAGCAGTAGACGCCGCACCAGACGTCGTGACAGCGGCTGTAGTAGAGCTGGCAGAGGAGCTGGTTGAGGTAGTGCTGAGAATAGCAGAAGATGAACTGGACGACGAGCTGGTGCTGGCAGCGGTAGAGCTGAGTGGGGTTGTGCTAGCAACAGCAGTGGAGCTTGAAGAAGAAGATCTGGACGACGAGCTGGATGAAGTAGTGCTAGCAACAGTAGAGCTTGAAGGAGTGCTAGATGAAGTGGTGCTGGCAGCAGACTCAGAGGACGAGCTGGACGAAGTGGTACCAGCAGCAGTGGAGTCTGAGGAAGTGCTAGATGGGGTGGTGCTAGCAGCAGGCTCGGAGGACGAGCTGGGCAATGTAGTGCTGGCAGCAGGCTCAGAGGACGAGCTGGGCGAGGTAGTGCTAGCGACAGTCTCCGAGCTTGAGATTGTGCTGGCGACAGTTTCAGAAACCGAGCTAGAGGTCGTGCCCGCAACCAAGGCAGCGAATGAAGCTGTCTCCGAGCTAGAGGTAGTGGCTGCGGCTGTCGATGGAGTTGTGGTATCGGCACAAGCCGACCTGGGTGTGTAGAGGAATACAGTCGAACTCTTCACTGCAGAGGCGGCAGTGCAACCGCCCCATGTATAAGTGAATGTGGTGGTTCCATCTGGACCAGGAGCTATCGAAGAGGACGAGGTAGAGATAGGAGTAGCAGTAGGCTCACAGTAGTCCTCGGTAGTAGACAGAGGAGTGACTGAAGGTGTGGCAATTGCACTATCAGTCGAGGACAGGGGTGTCTCGGAAGCGGGAGTGCTGAAGATGCTGGTGCTAGAAGCAGGTGTGGCAAAGGCATCTGTAGAAGCAGGAGTACTAGAGGCATCCGTAGTAGAAACCGGGGTGTTGGAGACATCGGTCGAGGCAGGAGTGCTAGGGGCAGCTGAAGAAACCGGAGTACTGGAGATATCTGAAGAGGCAGGAGTACTAGAGATATCTGAAGAAATCGGGGTACTGGAGATATCTGTAGAGGCGGGCGTACTAGAGATATCTGAAGAAACTGGGGTACTAGAGACATCTGGTGAAGCAGGAGTGCTCGAAACATCTGTCGAAACAGGAGTGCCTGAGTTCTCTGAAGTAGAGGCAGGAGTGCTAGAGGCAGCTGAAGATGCGGGAGTACTAGGGATATCTGAAGTAGAATCAGGAGTGCTAGAGGCATTTGTTGAAGCGGGAGTACTAGGGATATCTGAAGTAGAAGCAGGAGTACTAGAGGCATTTGTTGAAGCGGGAGTGCTTGAGATATCTGAAGTAGAAGCAGGAGTGCTAGATGCGGGGGTACTAGAGTCGTCTGTAGAAGCAGGAGTACTAGAGGCAGCTGAAGATGCCGGGGTGCTAGAGACATCTGTCGAAGCAGCAGTACTAGATATAGGGGTACTAGAGACATCTGTAGAGGCAGGAGTGCTAGAGATATCTGTAGAAGCAGCGGTGCTAGATACTGGGGTACTAGAGGCATCTGTAGGGGCAGGAGTGCTCGAAATATCTGAGGTAGAAGCTGGAGTGCTGCTAGAGATATCTGTAGTGGCAGCAGGAGTGTTGCTGGAGACATCTGTAGTGGAAGCCGGAGTGCTAGAGGCGTCGGTGCTTAAAGCAGAAGTGCTTGAGACATCCGTGCTAGAAGCAGGGGTACTAGAAACAACTGCGCTTGAAGGTGTGCTTGAAATATCCGAGGTAGAGGCCGGGGTGCTAGAAGCAGCCAGGTTCTCAGAAGGAGTAGTGCTCAAGGCGGTACTGGAGATATCGGTGCTTGAAGGTGTAGTAGAAACATCGGTGCTTGAAGCAGTACTGGAAATACTACTGGAAGCAGGGGTGCTGGAAACCTCCGTGCTGGAAGCGGTGCTAGACACATCGGTACTTGAGGCAGGAGTGCTTGAGACGTCGCTGCTTGAAGGTGTACTAGAAGCAGACGTGCTAGAGATTTCGGTGCTTGAGGGAGTACTTGAAACATCAGTACTTGAAGGGGTGCTAGAAACATCCGTGCTTGAGGCCGTGCTGGAAAAATTAGTACTAGAAGCAGGAGTGCTGGAGGCGTTGCTACTTGAAGCTGTACTAGCAGCTGTGGTAGAGGCAGCGGGTGTGGTAGTAGCTAGGTTCTCAGAAACAGCAGTGCTCGAGGCGGCGGCGCTAGAAGAAGGCGACGTAGATGCAGCAGCAGTGGAAGACGTTGACTGGGCAGCAGAAGACGTCGACTGAGCAGCAGTGGACGAAGTGGACTGGGCTGCAGTGGATGATGTCGACTGAGCCGCAGTTGAGGAGGTGGACTGAACAGCGCTCGAGGAAGTAGACTGGGCAGCGGATGTGGTGCTGGCGTTACTGGCGGTGCTCGCTGGTGCGCTGGTGGTGGCCGCCACGCTCGAGGTAGTGGACGGCTTGGTCGTGGTGGTAGCGGGACAGACCGTCCTAGGCGAGTAGAGGTAGACCGTCTTGGGACCATTGGGGATGGTGGTGGTGGACGTCGATGTCGTGCAAGAGGCATAGGGGACAGTGACGGTCCTGGTCGTGGTCGGGCAGACGGTCCTAGGGGTGTAAATCACCTGCGTAGTAGTGATCGTGTTGGTACTACGGAGGGTGCTGCTGCTGGTACAGCTGGTCCAGGCGGAGCGAACTGTGGTGGTGGTCGGCGTCGGACACACAGTCCTCGGCGTGTAGACAATCTCGGTTGTGGTCCAAGCATTGGCAGTTCGGGTAGAAGTCGACGAGGTGCAGCTAGTCCAGGCCTGTTTGACGGTTGTGGTGGTGGGGGCGCAGGTGGTCCTGGGGACATAGACCAACTCGGTTGTCGTCCATGTGTTGATGGGACGGGTCACTGTGGTAGTGGTGCAGCCAGTCCATTTCTGAGTGACGGTGGAAGTGACAGGGACACACTGGGTTCTGGGAGTGTATACAGCGAGAGTAGTTGGCCTTGAGCCGCGGGTCTGAGTGGTGGTCGTGCAACCGGTCCAGGCATATGTGATGGTGGTGGTACGACCGGCACGGGCCTCGAGGGTCACGGCCTCATCGGCAGAAGCAATGGCAAAGCGAGCGAATGCGAAGAAAACAAGTAGCGAGAGGCATGATTGCAACATGATGAAAAGCCCGCTTGACCTCGAGGGGTCAGGTTACAATTCCAAAGGTGAGGATTGGTCTTGTTCGGGCCGCTGTGAGGCTGTTGATTGCGAGCTTGGGATAGCAAGATCACAAAGGCATACGTCTGAGTCGGGGAGACAGGCATCTTGTAGGCCACGGACAGAGGTTCGCCTGGCGCGCGGCCTTGGATCTGGGCTGTTCCAGCCGCTGTGAGCTGGCAGCCGCTATTGTGAAGCTGGAGAGGAAGCGTGGATCCAGGACGGTTCGGGAGCCACGCGATCGGACATCGTTAGTCCAAGGCACCAGGGGACAGGCTAGAAGTCCAGCTAAAGAACGCTAGCGGTTCATCTATTGCTGTGGCGGCCGGTCCAGGGACCCGTCCGATCTCCCAGGAACCGCCCAGGCGGCGTCCTTGCTGTAGTCTGGAGCCAAGGGTAGAACTCCAGGCCCGATCCATCGACCAGGGTACTGGCACGTTCTCGCGGGGACATCTCTTGGCGAGTGATGTGAGCCCAGGCCACACAGGATTACTCAAGTGACGAATGCCACCAACAGGCTATCGGGACGAGCCTCATGCTTGGCTGTCTACTGCCGAGGCAAGTGATTGCAACCTGGCCTCTGCCCTCCATCAAGAGGAGTGCAGCGGTACAGCAACAAAAGCAACGCGAAATGCCTTGAAGCAAAGGGAAACGCTTGGGAAACCATCCACCCCAAAGAATAAACCACATAATTCATCCAAGCCAGAGGTCAGGATGCTTAAATTTAGGGTTCGTTCGCCCTTCATCGTCCGGCAACAACGCTCCACCGGAGCTAGCCGTAGTCAAGAAGCCGAACAATCAACGCTCTTATGACGGGGGACCGCCCGACGATGCCAACGGCTTCACAGTTGGCAGCCGATGGGAGTGGTGTTTGTTGTCTCCCCATCAGCGTCCCCATCTCGTCATGCTCACCGGCATGCACGCGCGGCCTCAGGCGACGGACTCGACAGACCGGGAAAGCGTGAGCGCGACGGCGGAGGTGCAGCCCAGGAGAGAAAGAAAAAATTGAGTGGCTTTTCAGGTGCGCAGTAGTCCAGAACACTACTGTTTGGTCGTGCGAGGCGGTGGGAGGCGTCTGGAACGAGCCCCTGGACAGCGTGCAAACACCACGAGCGTTGGTGCCCTGCGGCAAAGTTGATGCCGGAGCCCTCGTCCCTTTCGGGCCATGGTCTGAACTAGAGCAGCCCTCGCCCGCTCATAGATCTCTTGCCGAACCCCTGGTGGCTGCTCCGGCACTTTTCAGGTGCCTTGTGCCTGAGCCAGAGCTGAGCTTAAGACACTCCGCTAACGAGGTTTTTCTTCGTATTCTGCGCCAATCAGCGCGCGGCAAGTCACACACCACCACCTGTCCCCTCCTACACTCTCCCACAATGCTCACCACCTACTTCACCACCAGTCAACCCCCACTCTATTTACTATATATCTTCCCGCATTCCACCAGGCCACGCATTGCGCCCATTTGCTTGTAGGATTTCAAATTGTCCTTGTCGTGCGCTGACGGGGCTCTAATAAATCTCCCCTTCAGCACCCGTCAGACCAGTAAGCCGTGGAATACACCGTCCCCCCTCTGACCAGCAAGCAGACTGTTGGTGTAAGAAAATCTTTCATTTTCTCCTTCAAGGGCCGCCGTTTGAGCTTACTTTCCCTACCTCATAATGGCTTTCAGCTCGGCTGGGCCACGAACCTCGGTCATGTATTCACTAGCTCAAATGAGGCGATGCCCTATTATCAGTACGACCTAAATCTAGAATGTCGTCGACTGTTCTCCTGTGCATCACGCTCAACGTGTACATCGGCCATTAATGCTTAGTTTGGCTTAGAGTCATTCTAATATAGGTCCCAGCTAACCCCGTTTCCTGTTCTGCCTTTTCGTTTCTCCCTCCCTCCGCCTACCGATTACGGGGTCTGCTTTGTAAATTTCCACCAGCGTGACAAGCGAACTCTAACATATTTATGCCTATTCTTAACCATCTTTCTCCCCCCTTCCTTTGGCTAGATTTTGCTCCCACCGCACCTGGCCATCCGTCTGCCTCCTAACCCCTGTCTAGTAGCATGCGCTGCTAGCTCTACGCATGCCGATCCGCTGCTCTAGCCCTCCATCGCCCATTCTGGCACTGTAGGTATTCCAGATTCCAGATCGAGAATCCAGGCAAAGATCCTGCTTCCCGTTTGAGTCCAATCCCTCGAAAATCCTCCCAAAGAGAAACCCGCGTGGTCGAGAGTGCATCGCCTCCAGATGATAACTGTCGGGGTTGATGAATTCCAAGGACGGCACTCTGAGCGCCCGGGATACCCTAGAGGAGAAAATTGTAACCAGGAAAGCGTTAATGCTATTGATGATAGAAGCCATGGTCAGCAGAACCTTCGCCTCCCCATCGATGCCTCGATAGATCCTTTTGAACCTACTCCATCGTCTTTAACGTGGCTAGAGCGTCGGTCCCGTACATTGTCTACGTGCGGTATGATCTTCTTTTAGATTCGTGTTTCCAGAGGGCGTAAATTTGGGTTCTGCTCTCTAGTCCTTAGCTCCATTAATCAGTGTCCACGGTACAACAAAAACAACATAGCCTCACTAAGAACATAGCTTCTTTAACAATATTTTATAACAACTTAAGCCATGCGATGCTAAAGTGGTGATCATGTATAATTATATGAGCCTTGTCATTTCAATTGCTTCGGTATTGATGTTAATCCGGCGCTCTGAGGTGGAGCACCTGTTGAGGAAAGTAAGCGCTAAGATTACATTATCACGTGACCATCTCGTCTCTGTCACAGCTAACTTCAATGGGGATAAAAAAGAGATTGGCCAGGCCGGAACAAGTGGTCATGATGAATTACATAGGCATGTCCTCTATAATATAATGTAATACAGTCCAGGGCTCATACATCTACGAGCACTACCATCTCAGCATCATCACCACCCAAATACTGTACTAAACAAATGCTCTGAGACCGAACTTTAGGTTTGATGTGCTGACTCATCTCCCCCGTTGCAGTGATAATTCCATCCCCACTGACGGAGAAAGTTGTCTTTCCCCATATCGCCACCGTGAAACGAGCTCATGATATTGCTTGAGTAAAAGCAATCGCAATGATGTTTGCTGCACGAAGAATCATTTCGCAGCCTTTCTGCCGCGTTGCAGTGCGACAGCTGCAGGCCACTTCTCGTCGATGTGCCTCTACCGGCCCCCCAAACATGGCAGAAATGATGTATCGTGACCCCAAACTTCGAGACACATTTGAGAAGCTCGCTCGGCACCCTGGCGCCATTCTGGCGATGCAAAACATAAGCCAGATTATCCAGAAAAAAGGTCCTTCCCTCTGAGTTCCCGTATCTATCAACCAATAAGTCTTACTGATAATTTAACACACCAAATGAATAGGCTTCCAGCCCGGTAATATGCCCAGTAAGATGGATATGCTCAAGCTCATGATGGACAAGGAGTTCAGAGAGGCAGCACAAAAGGTAGGCTCAGCCTCTGATATACGACTACTGGATTTTCTTTTGGAGAAGTGTCCTAATGAGTAACGTAACGTAGCTGACAGAGGAGATGCAAAATGCTGGTGTTGAAATCAACCCTGATGTAAGCCCCCTTCAACCAGTCATCAACCAACGTGATATACTCCTACTAACGTAGCCCATAGGTCTTCATGAAGATGATGGAAGCCGATAAAAGCAAGTAGCTTGCTCAGAAGCTGTCTTCATCTTAGGAGAATATTATCATTACAGTCGAGTTCCTAACGTCAATACTGAGTGAACTTCGGCTGAAGATAATCAAAAACCTCTAGCTCCTTAGTAACACTCAAATTCATTTACTGGTTCTCGTGTGAAATATTATACCATTCCAATGTAAAGTCTTACATAAATATACAAATACAACCGAAACTTTACCATCGCTCGAGCACTGCGACAACCTTGCGCGAAAATGCCTCTGTTAAGCTCTTTCCTTCATCTGACCCTATCCCAAGGAGCTCCGTATCAAGACAAAACTGTACCACTTCCTCGTACTCCTTACCCATGTAGAAACCTATCGTGGGCACCACCTTCTCTTGCAGGTGCAGCCGAAAAGCATTTGCATCCATGTCTTCTTCTCGGAAGCATCCGATTTGCTTCCAGAGGAAGATCTCAATGAGAACAATACCGACGCTGTATATGTCATAGGATCTTTCATACCTAGTCTGGCTTCGCAGTGGGAGTTGATAGTTTGGATGCCGATACGTGTTATGCAAAGCAGGTTCGGAAATTTTCTTGGGGTCGTCATAGCCGTCAAACTCGAACCCAGACAGATAGGCTGACTCGAGGCTCCGAGTCTCATCAGCGGAGAAGCAAAGTATATTGGAGGATGTGATGTTATAATGAAGCCAATCGGCAGCGTGAAGTTCAGCAACCGAAGCTGCGAGTATAGCAGCAAGGCGGAAACGAGAGTCTAGCGAAAATGTTATGGGCGACTCCTCTTCCCCTGGTTTCGCTAACATGCTTTCCAACGTGTCGTACTTGGCATTCTCCTCGTCCTTGAGACTTTTTGGGAAGTCAAAAACCATGCCATAGCCATGAGAATGCTTCGTCGATCGTGTGATGTAGCCCCGGCAATCGAGTATTCGGTAGCTCGAAGGCTTGGGATTGATCTGGAGTAGTGCCACCAGTGCCTTGATCCGATTCTCTCGTCTTCGGGCGGCTTGCAGATCCGTTTGTCGGAAATCCTTAAATTCGATGACAACTTTATCATCGCCTGCCATTGCTACGACCCTCGACGTTGAGGGCTCCTCGTCTGATGAAGGAAGGGTAACTGAAACCGGATTTATCCGGTGGGCAGGCTTTGTCGTCAGCGGAGCCCTGGAGGTCGGTGGCCGTAATTGCTCTGCAACAGATTTTTTAATGTTCGCAGCAAGGGCATAAGCCGGCGTTGCGTAGCGAGCCGTGATTGTGTCGTCCTTGGCCATCATATCCAGACCATTCATATCTGCAGGCTGGTTGATCAGGAGGTATCGGTCATATGTGTTGCGTGCCCATGACGGGAGGATGTCACGAAGACCGTCGTTGAGGGTGCTCAGCTTCTTGACTAGTGTGGCGAACTGACTTTTGTCACGTAAGCCCCATCTAATCTTTCTCATCCAGCTCAGTTGCTGTTGTACCACCATTAGGTTGTTTGGTCTCCTGTCTTTCTCATCCTGTCCTGCGTTTAAATCCCATATAGAGACGCTGTTGGCATGCTGCACCCGCTGGAGGTCCGAGAAATCTTCATCAAGGCGACCCTTTGTAAGCGGTTTCAAGCCGTGAACTTTGACAAGCGGCTTGACGTCGGTGAGCAAATCGCAAACATGGGTGAGGATGTCGATGGCTGTAGCAATAACAGTAAGATGGTCACGGTGAGTGTCATCGAACTGGGTTGGGTGATCTGCGTCTAATCCCACAGCCTGAGCCCAGCTCTCATACCTAGATGGTGTTAGCAATGCAGCTTAGATACAGAGAAACATATACGCCCGTCTAGAATGGATACAAATGGCTGATGCTCACCTCTGACGTTGTAAGATAAAGGACACTTGGTGGTCCACGGCATCCTTGGGCACATCGCGGATCTCACCGAGAATCTTGTAGGCCATCTCCCCCACATGGAAGAATTGGAAGGTGAGCCCCGCTACACCAAGACCGAGGGCGGTACCCTCCATTGAGTTGGGGGAAGCCAGAGCTCGGCGGTCGGTATGTTGAAATGGGTTTCAGTAGCCCGCCAGCCAGAGAAAGAAGCACTATCTGAGAAGCTCGAAACAAACAAACGTGGACATCCCATCGAAATTCCTTACTTGTATTACTAAGTTTTCATGCGCGCGGTTGGGGGCAGAATGTATTTCATGTGACTGGACGGGTTTTGGCCCAGCAACAGCGCATGAATTATGCCGTGGGGCGACAGCCACTTCAAGCCAGTTCATCATGCGACTCTGTGGTCATCAAATGCCGCATATGAAAAGCAGATATCTACGTACAGGCAGCATCTTTCAACAAAGATATATCAAACGGTGACTTATATACTTTGCAATTGCATAGGTGTGTGTCCAGTCTCTGGGCCACACAGACAACGCCATCGTGGCCACTCACATCAGGCTATGCAAAATAAATCAGTGCTGATGCCCGAGAGGCAGGAGCAACGTAGGCGAGAGATGCACTGTGATTGTGGACCAGACATGCAGCTCATGCATCAACATTTCTTTTTCCGGCAAAATTCCTCCCATCTTCGCCGTCAACCATTGGCCTTCGCCGCGGTGTCTTGCATAAACGACAACACACAAATATTGATGGCACGCTCCTGATGGTATTGAGAGCAAAGTTATGCAGTATTAGACGGATCCCATTGGTTGATACCTGGCAATCTGCCTTGGAAACATGACGTGGTGTATTAGCCGGATGTGATTCTGCTTACAAACATATACGCTGAAACTCTGGCATTATGGCAAGAAACCAGCGTTACAAGGCCATACAAGTAGCTAACTGGTTTTTTTTGTCCGCTGAAGGGATGGGTATGGATGTTCCCCAGGCTTGACCATGGTCGGGTTGTTGCCCAATTTAATTTCTGTACACGTACATACACACGGGCAACTCGGGAACAGAAACAGCATAACACGAACGCTCCGTGGGTATGAGAGCTGAGTTACACACCTGTCTACGTATTATAGGGCATCAAGGTGTCAAAAGGTGCCCAACTCAAAGGTTGGTCACGTAGGCAAATAAGAGTAGTTGTTGTCAATCCATTCCAATGCCTGGTGTTGGCTTCCGGCGGTCCCGTTGTTCCCCAAAATACCATCGATTGCTTGTGGGCCATATTGATTCATACTTTAGACCAATTATACATAGCCTGTAAATCTCCAGTTCGTAAAGAAGAACCATGATCTTCATATATTTACGCAGCAACCGGAATGTCACTTTTTATTAACACACTCCGCGGGTATTGAAAGTGGTGCCGACGAACAGGATGTGGAATGGAAACATTCCCTGGGTTAGCTTTATGTAGTGGCAGCAAAAACTAAGGTTCAAAAAACAGATTAATTTAGATATTTGGAACCATGCTATCTATATATTAACACGGAAGTGACTTGATTTATCGCTTATAGCGAAATCCATATTGGAAGCCATCAATATATTGTTGGGAAATATGCTCTGTCATTAGTTAATCAAACCTCTATGTCGCTAAATCCCTCTCCTATGCATCAACAACATATTTCATCTCAATCAGAAATCTGTCATGCTTGGAGTCAGGGTTCTCCTATCAATACCTTACAATACAGCCATTGAAGCTTGCCGTGATCGAGGCTTCGAGCGAGCAAAGTTTGGGTCTGCGAACATGGCTCTTCGGCCGGCGTGACTTCATTGATATGTAAGAGAGTAGCATGTCCACCGGAACTAAAGATGTTAGGTAGGTGGAGGGTCACGTCCATCTCAATAGAGCCAAAATTGGTGTCGGGACGATTACAACCACAAGACGGTGGGCAATAAGAGCAAATTGAAAGCCGACCGGAGGGTTGCACTGGAAGATTTATCGCTACAAAGGTATGTATTCACAAGTAATCAGCATGCCGGAAATAGTAAGGAAAGTTGCGTTAAAACAATTCATGCCATACCATAAACATTGCCCACTGCAAGACAACTCAAGCGCCTCCATTTGGGAAGAAGAAGTTCGAGCTTGAGAAGCGAGAGGAAGAAAGCCCTGGCGAAGGAAATGGAAAGGGCCCTGGTACCTCTGACATTGAAGGTTTGCTTGTTTCAACAGGCCGCGAGGCTAGTCAAAATTACTACAGGCCCAAAAAGCTGAAACGATTTATCAATCGAAAAAAAGGGGCAGTTTTCACACGCGAAAACTTCAAGGCTTCTAAAGGTCATTTCAAGGAGTCTGCTCACCATCTCATAGCTCCATCACGTTATCCAAAGCTATTAGAGCCATCCCCTATGTCTTCAGCTAAACGAAAGATGAACAACGCCGTAAGAGGGTAAAAGCAGCAAGTAAAAGGTTGAAAGCACGTCTTGCCAGAAAAACTGCGAGTTCTGGGCCGGATTCAGAGCTTGAAGACTCCAAGAAGTCATGATCCAGACACCCAAGCAAACAACAAGTCCCAGTCATGATGTTCATCACTACAGGCCCAATCCATTGATTCATTGTTTAACCTAATCGCATTCTCATATCTTGAACAGTGACTCGCTCTGTATCTCATTGAAAACCCGTGAATCAGTCTACTTGATTGAACCACCACGTTCATCCACTAGCTTAAGCCTTCACTCCTACCAACCGCACCCTCTTTATTTCAAATAAACCCTGTTAAGAGTTTGAGATATCTTGACACCTCCGTTCTATGGATTTGCCATATCAACTGAGTATATCAATTGAGCTTAATGGCTTCTCTACCTTTTTTGGAAGATGAACAAAAGACCTCAACCAACGTACTCCTTGGTATGATATTGAGCGGCTTTGGATAATAAATAAATATTCTTATATGGTCTATTTCTTCACCTCGATGAGTAATACGAGCTTAAATGTTTACCTGTTAGTATAAACCAGATAAGAAGCTGGTAATATTTCTTGGAGAAGCGGCAGGCTCTCAGCTAACCACTTTATATCTAAGCACCCACCATAAGCTCCTATGTAAAAAATTGGTAGATTTTTACGAGGTAACTATGAAACCAAACTTGGAGTTGCAGAGGAATTTTTGGAGGTTAGGAGGTTGAGATCCATCGCAGAGTGCGGATTGATGAGGAAAATTATTGATAAATAGAGCGGGAAGAGTATGCAACAATTTACTCTCATGGCTCATATTAATTCTTCATGCTAGTCAAGCGGCCATTCAGTAATCTATTATCTTCTAATAACTTAAAAATATATATCTATATATATAGTTTCTTGAATCTTTTTCTCTTGTTCTCGCGGAACCTCGTTCAAGTCATTGACTACCCTATAGTTGATGTTTCATGGAACGAAACAAATATTCAGATCCTTATTACAATATATTTAAGAAAGAAGAAATGGGTTAAAATGTTCTAAGAACTTAAATATAGAGCTTAGGTAAATGAGAATGAAGAATTATTGGCATCATATCTTTGCAGGTAATTTCATCTACTGGAACATGTATCTGGAAATCACCTCGCCCTTGTGAATGCATCTCTGCAACTCTGAGGCGGAGAAAATGGACCAGAGTTAGCGTAGATGATGCCATGCTAAAATTATCCGAGTGGGTATGATGACGAAATGCCTGCACGTGGCTACTGCTTACAATTTGGCTCACACCATTCCTTCTCGGCATCGAACGAATCAGCGGCCTCAGATAGTGGGCGGGGACCTTTGTGTCTGCACAAGTCAGCCGTGATGTAAGATTCTAATTATCCCTTCTGCAAGTCGGGCTTGGCCGACACAGCTTGGCCGGCTCACCAAATCCTGCAATGTGACACTGCAGGAGGCTCTGCATGAGTCGTCAGCCGAAGAAGAAACGGAAACGGAAAGAGGACTTCGTGAGAAGACACGAAGAACCACATTCTCTCCATTCCCCTCGCACGTACGATAAAGAGACAAAATCCGAGGGCGTGAGATTGGGATCATGGAACAGGGGCAATGACTAGCCACCCACCGCCACTTCTCCTACTTCCCCTGACTCCTGAGCGCTGGTAGTAGTTCCGTCTGAGCCAAGCAAAGCCAGCCAGATTAATCATACTTGGCTGCCCCAGCAATAATGCGGCCAATAATACTCTTCAGCCGATCATGGCACTAATTAGCTCATTCTTCCGTGAGGCTGTGGCGAGGTGCTCTCATCTCACTCTGCGCCCGCCCAAGTCAAGTTTGTATCTGCAGGTGAACATGTATTAATTATTTATTTGTTGGTGTGGCGCAGCCCATCTGCCGAACTGTTGGTGAACCAACAGGCACGGCAATGCAGGTCATACGTTTGTTGGTTCGATGACATTCATGTGCCGAACCAACAAGATAAAATCGGACGGGTATGCAGGCAATCTGCTGTTGGTTCTACCAAACTTCGGCGCATTAATTGCATTGCACCAACCAAATACGGCCTGCATCCACAGAACATTGGGGGCCTTTTCCCACGACATCAATTCACGTCCACGGCTTCGGGTCTCATGTCCGTCAAATACCATCTTTCAGGCGAGTCTTCTGGAACCCCTAATGGAGCCGGAGATATCTGAGGTGATCTAAAAATATACTCCGAAACGTGTGTGTCCTTGTCCTCTCCAGAGTCTCCACACCTCACGCCCGAACAACTCAACACGTCCCCTTTTAGTAGCTGTTACGGAGCTCGCATCAGGTGTGGCACTCCGCCTCTCATGTGTAAGACTGTACCAATCAACCGCTAGCTTCACCTGGGGAGACCAAGGAGAAAGGATCGCGGGCCTGGTTTTCAGCTGTGAGAGGGCGCACACGTCGGCTTAGGTAAATCTAACAGATCCGGTATTGATTGGCAGTCTCCCGAACAGTCAGACATCGTGGCGACAGAAACTCCCCACTTCTGGGCATCGACACCTTCCCCTCCCATCACATATTTACGTGATACGAGCGGGTTTTCCAGTACCGAAATGTCCAAATTCGCGTGGCAGGGTGTGATGCAGTACGACTTTTACGTACAGTCGAAGCTGCGGCACGGTTTGAACTTTGGTCTCAGCCTAGCTGCGGGACAGATCCTACCCAGATAGGGGCGGCACAGCACGGCAAATCTATTGCGCCGTTGGGTTGCGTTGGCGATGCTTCCAGAAAAGTGTGACCGCTGGGAACGATATCTAGGGATCTTCACTTGATAACACACCCACACAGGGCTGAATGATGACAATGGGAGAATCAATTTAGTCTGGGATCACACTAGTAACGCTACTCGGTCAGATCCGTTGGAATATGATGAGCCGGGATTGCAATCGACATGTACACATGGGGTGACTTTGTTCAGATATCAAAACAAGGAGTTAGTTACCCCAGCCCAGCCTCAAGTTTCCGAAAAGAACAGCGGTGACACGGTCATACGGGTCGCCCTGTGCCACATGTGCCACATGTAGAAAAGGCCAAGGACTGGGATGTTGAACTGTAAAGGGACACTACCTAGCCAATTAAGAAATCACAGGAGGCAGGTGGTAATGAGTTAAATGCTCTGTTAAGTCTCAAGACGCGCACTCAGAAATGTGCCCCGTACCAGTTAGGTCAGGAAGGGACCCCTGCAAAAGGGACCAAAGCCCCTAGATCGTTCGAACCACCAGCCTAGTTAAGGCTCAAGCCACGGATTTCGGAATAGGCATAGTTGCAACTCTCGTAATCCCGCATATGTTTCATCTACGTATCCCCCGGGTGCCAATTGTTCTCAGTCCCGCACTTACCATAGGACTGTGGCAACACCCTTACCCATATGCGTTTACCTGCCTGACTAGGTGCCATCTTTGCCATTGCGATTCCTCCTTCTCACGGAGCAGGGGCGCATAGCTGTAAGCTCTTGGAGTTTCATGAAGCACCAGTTGCTTCTAGACTAGATTCACACCAGTTGACATGATGGTGCTTCATCAGATTCGAATTCTTGTAAAGATCTTGTATGAATTACCTACTCCTTGATTGTTGATGGATCGATCTACGTGGTAGTGTGAAATAACTCTGGCTAGTTAGTAACCCATGTGAGATTCAGAGAACGGACAGGCATGAAAGGGCCAAGCAAACCTGGATGCTCGTATCCCACTTTTACCTACAAGGCTCCGCACGCCGCTTCGTTTGTAACCGGAACACATCATGCATGGGTAACTTAGATAGGATGAAGGTGATCATCCGAAATCTGCCAAGGCTTACCACAAAGGACGTAGTGCGTTGGAGCTAAACATAGCCTTACAACATCTTTGATAGATCCGATGAGTATGCCACGAAGTATATTAAGCCGATCATCCCCCTCCTTCAAACGAACCCTTTCTCTTCATCACTCGATCAAACACCACCAAAACAACAACATTCTTACAGAGCTGGTCTCTTTTCGCTTCTTTGCTACATTATTCTCATACCCTATTGCTGGTCAATAAAGTCTTTTATTTCCTTTTATCTATATACCCCCCTTTTTTTTCTACTCCATATATTCTCTATACATTCAAAATGGTTTGCATCAAGCAAGTTTATATCCCTGCCGTTGTCCTTCTCAGCCTTGCCGAGCAAGCCGTCGCTGCCCCTGTCGCTCGCCGGGGCGATATTGATGTCCGCGATGCTGCCCAGGCTGACGGATCCATTGACTTGGCTATCCGTGACCAGGAACTTTATGAGCGAGGCTTGTTGAAGAAGGTCCTCACCCCTATTGTCAAGGCCACGAAGGCTGTCACCAACAACAAAGG